GCACTCCACGCAATGGCATTGCTGAGCAGGAGAGCACAGTGCACTGAGTGGGATGGGGAACGCTGAGGGCACTTCCGGCCAGCCCTCGGGGCCTCTTGGAACAATGTTCTTGCCAGAGTTGGCTTGAGTCAGTCCAGCTGGCCCACCGAGAATCACAGGACAAGTGAAAGTGTTTGGACACATTCTGGGGGCAAGGTAAAGCCACCAAAGGAATCTAAAAAGGTGTGCCTTTCAGGAAGGACAGGCTGGGGGCTGTCCCTCTCTTGGCCTCTGGCAGGCAGAAGACAGGGTCCAAGTCTAGGAGCAGATGGCAGGATTTGACGAGCGGCCAGGGGTTGTGGGCTGCACTACAAGGCCACCAGGGGAGGACTCGCTTGGCTATCCTCCAGGAGCTTCTCAAATCTGTGCCTCCTGCCACCTCTGGCCACCTCCGGCCTGTCCACCTCTCTGGGCCCAAAGCTCTAGGTGACCCAAAGGCCCTGCAATCACCAATTTCTTACCGTTGGCCACAGAAGGTCCTCAGGGCAGTCGTTCTAGACTGTCCCATCATGAGCCACAGAAAAAAATAGCTTTCACAGGGGGGCCAGTGTGCAAGCAGGCACAAGTACGTCTGTAACTGACCCTAAAGCCTCAGGAAGCAATGGTTGCCCTTGCTGGCCACCATGTACCCCGATGAACCCAATCCTATCCTTTTCTATCCTATCCAAGTTTTTAAAAGTGCTGGCTAGGGGCCGGCCCGGTGGCACAAGCGGTTGGGTGTGCGCGCTCCGATGCGGTGGCCTAGGGTTTGCTGGTTCGGATCCCAGGCGCACACTGACGCACCGCTTGTGAAGCCATGCTGTGGTGGCGTCCCATGTAAAGTGGAGGAAGATGGGCATGGATGTTAGCCCAGGGCCAGTCTTCCTCAGCAAAAAAAAAAAAAAAAAAAAGAGGAGGATTGGCAGATGTTAGCTCAGGGCCGATCTTCCTCACACACACACAAAAAAGAATTATCGTTTAAAAATAAAATAAAATAAAAGTGCTGGTTGCCTCCTGCAGGCTGGCCCGGGTGACCGTGGGGTACAAACTCCCGTCGAGGCTAAAGTGGACCTTTGCTGGCATTGGTTTCTTCTTCAGGCTTATTTGGTTGTTCAAACTCTGCCCTCTGGGCACTACAAGTGTGTGGGCGGGAGCCACCCCCATGCCTGGGAGAGGGGGGCATGCGATCCTTTTTGCCAAACTTTTCTTCTCAGAAACAAAACAAGAAATGTTAGCATTGAGTTCCCCATTTCACGTGTAGGTACACGCTCTTTCTGGTATTAACTACCACATCTGTTTTTTTGTAATAATCTTCTTGGCAGGGAAAAAATGCTGGCTAAGACCCGCCATACCGATTTCACGCCCCGTTGATCCGGCGCCACCAGGCAGTTTGAGAAACCCCGCCCCAGGCCCGGCCGGGACTCCGCCAGCCCCGCGCCAGCCTCGCCCACTCCTTTCGGCCAATCGCCTCTGCAGGAGGGGCCTCTATTTGAATATCCCCGCCCCCAACCCCTCTCGGACACGGCCCTGCGATTGGTCCCGCCTCGTCCCGCCCCGCCCCGCGCTGTCCTGCAACACCGGCTCGCAGTTGCGCTGCCGCAGCGCGCACGGTCGATGGCTACCGCTATGGAGCTGGGGCTCGCGGGCCGCCGGGCGCTCGTCACCGGGGCGGGCAAAGGTGGGCCGGCGGCCGGAGGCGGCGACCAGGGGCGGCCGGGGAGGGGCACCAGCACTGAGCCGCGCTCCCCGCAGGCATCGGACGCAGCACGGTCCAGGCGCTGCACGCGGCAGGTGCGCAGGTGGTGGCCGTGAGCCGGACCCAGGCGGACCTGGATAGCTTGGTTCGCGAGGTAGGCGCCGCCCTGTTCCAGCCCAGCGGGCGACGGGCGGACGCGGGGCCGGGACGCGCGGGAGCCAGGCGCTGGGGCGGACCAAGGACCCTCAGCAGCCCCTCCTAGGGCTCGCGGCCTCCGTGGGCGGCCGAGTGGCCGAGAGAACTGTGACGCTCCCTGGGCTTGGAAGGAGGCAGAAATGGCTGCTTTGCAGGCCCGGGGCAGAGGCGCTAGGACGCAGGGAGGAAGTGGACTGGCCGGAGGCGGGACCAGGCTCCTGGTCCCGAAGCCCTGAGTTACCCAGTGGCCCAGAGGCTGCTTTAACTCCCCTCCCCTCTCCCTGAGCAGCCTGGGCTTCTGAGCCCCAAGAAGGTGGCTGGCTCCTCTGGGACCCCTAACCCCTCCCCGTGTCGGGCCTAAAGGTCACCCAGACCCAGCCCCCCTCCCTCGCATGGCAGAGGCCCAGCTGTGCCCCTTCTTGGGCATGGAGCCTCTGGTAGCTGTACCCTCAACACACACAGTGCCCCGGGGTAGAGCCCGTGTGTGTGGACCTGGGTGACTGGGAGGCCACTGAGCAGGCACTGGGCAGCGTGGGCCCCGTAGACCTGCTGGTGAACAACGCTGCCGTGGCGCTACTTCAGCCCTTCCTGGAGGTCACCAAGGAGGCGATTGACACGTGAGCTGGCGGCTGGAGGAGCCCTGGGGGCAGGGGCTGTCCCCTGCAGCAGCAGCCCCCGTCCCTGACCAGGGTCTGTCCATCTGCCTCCAGGTCCTTTGACGTGAACCTGCGGGCTGTCATCCAGGTGTCCCAGGTGAGCTGCCTTCAGAGCAGGAGTGGGAACTGGTGGGTGACGCTAGTTTTGCCTCATGCTCCCTTTGCAATTCCAGATCGTGGCCCGGGGCTTAATAGCTCGGGGAGCCCCAGGGGCCATCGTGAACGTCTCCAGCCAGGCCTCCCAGCGTGCACTGACTAACCACAGTGTCTACTGTGAGTGAGCCCCAGCTGTGCCCTGGCCTTCACCCCCTGCCCCCAAGCCTGCACCCAGCTAAGGTTCCACGCATGCCATCTCTCCTCACAGGCTCCACCAAGGGTGCCATGAACATGCTGACAAAGGTGATGGCTCTGGAGCTTGGGCCACATAAGGTGAGCCCCTCTGAGATGCCTCCCACCACCCAGTCTGTCTTGCCCAGGGCACCCCAGCCCACCTTGCTGACCCCTTGCCTGTCCTGGTGCAGATCCGCGTGAATACAGTGAACCCTACAGTGGTGATGACGCCCATGGGCCAGGCCAACTGGAGTGACCCCCAGAAGGCAAAGACCATGCTGGATCGCATCCCACTTGGCAGGTTTGCTGGTGAGTCGGGTGGGAGCCCAGCTGGGGGTTGTATCAGTAGCCCTTATGCCTGCCTGGGTGAGGCGGGGTAGGGAAGGATGGGAGGCAGCCCCCTTCATCTACACCCTGACCCCTATGCTGCCCGAAGAGGTAGAGAATGTGGTGGACACCATCCTCTTCCTGCTGAGTGACCGGAGCAGCATGACCACAGGCTCCACTGTGCCAGTGGATGGGGGCTTCCTGGCCACCTGAGCCCCTCCCCACACACACACACCCCTGCCCCCACCATCCCTCCAATAAATGTGATTCTTCTGCCCAGCCTGAACACTGATTCCTAGGCTGCCTGCAAGTGGATGGAAGATGTAGAGCTTAAGGCTGGGTGTGGAATGGATTCCCAGATAGGGGGATACCCGTTCAACTTATGTCCCAGGCCAGGTGGCAACCAGGTTCCTATGCCTGAGATTTTTAGACCTGCCCAAGTCCCTGGCAGGAGTTGGGAGGTGGGACCTTCCAGAAAGCCAGGTCCTAAGGAGCATGGTGAATTTGACGAAGGATGGTCTTGGGCCCTGTCCAGACGCCTCTGGGATGGAAGCAGTGGCGTTTTAAACAACCAGCTCTGTGGCTGTAATTCTGACATGAATGTTGGTTTATAGTCCTTGAAGTTAATGAGTAAAAGAAAAGTGAAACGGAGATGTATGTTGGAACTTCACTAATTGTCAATGACCTGAGCAACTTCTTTGCTGAATCAGATGATAGTTTTTGAATACTGGAACAACATTTTTTTCAACATGTTGAGTTATTCACAATGTACAGGGTACAGATACACACAAGCACACTAAAGTTTAATCTGCATTTTCCCAACACTTTCAGTCTAGACAATTAACAATAAATCAAGCCCAGCTGTAGAATTTGCCAATTTCCATGGTGTACTCAGACCTTTATATGGTATCCCTATCACACAGATATGTAAATAACATAGGTGTAAATAACCCCAAAAACATAGATAATAGTAATATGTACAGAAATAATTAGGAAGTGATATATTTTGAGTGTTTGTTAATTTTGTTTTTAATACAACTAATTGTAAGTTTATATAATTACTAATAATGGCTCTTTAACAACGGGCTAGCAAAATTCCTGAAGATTTAGCTGTCAGCTCTGCTGAGCCAGTGTGAGCCTTCATGAGCCCGCTCCCCACGCCATAGGGAGGGAGCCAAGTGTGGCCTTCAGATCACGTGTCTGCCTGGAGTGATGCCTGCAGCCTCAGCTACGGTCCTGGCTGCCCCTGCTTCTGACTTCAGCCAGGCTGTGTGTCTCCGCCTCAGCACACTTGTCCTGACCTCCACACCTTTAGCTACTCTGGTCCCTCTGCCTGGACGCCCTTCATCCTGACGACTTTTCTTCTCGAGTACTCAGCTCAGGGTCCCCCCAGACTCCCCCAGGGAGTCCCTAGGGCTCCATGGGGCCTGACAGACTGTCCCCCACCACACCTGGGGGCTGCTTGAACGGAGCCCACCTCACTCTCCTGTGACCCTCCCAGAGGCCCGAAGGCAACACGAGGGAGGCTTTCTTCATCCAGAGGGGCTAAATGCACTTGCTCCTACTTTCCTCTGGCTTACCTCCTTTGGGGACTGAAAACTCAGCAAGCTCTTCTTCTCTCCTCTTGCCCAGGGTGTGGGGTCAAGCTCACCCCCTCTCTCTGTACCTGTAGCTGGGGGTGGTTAGGTTCAAAGCACCCCAAGGTAGAGGGGCAGGCAGAGGCCAGGCAGGTAGTGAGACAGGCAGATGTCGGTGGAGAACGTTTATTGTATAAAATAAGAAAGGGCTGCCCCATCCTGGGGTACATGGATACAACCAACCCCCCAGCCTCTCCCAGAGGGAAGCCCATCCTGGGGCTGCCCTGGACCTGCCCCTGCAGCCTGAGGGAGACCCTGCTCCCTCCCGGCCTCCTGTGGGGGCCAGGGAAGGCTGGAGCCGCACCCCCAGAAAAAGGAGGCAGAGCCCACAGACACCATAGCGTCAGCCCCACCTCCGGGAGTGGCAGCCCCGTCCCCATGCTTCTTCCCACCCCCCCCACACAACTCCCCCACAGCAGACTCAGGAACACCAAACATCTCAACACGACAGCAGACACGGGCAGGGGTGGGGCTGCTCCTCTGGAAGCCAGGCTCTAGAAGACCGTGCACTTCTTCCCTGGCTTCTTCACGGGGGGCGGGCAGAGCACAGCCCGAATGGCCTCATCAAACACTGTCTTCAAGCCCCGCTGAGTCAGGGCTGAGCACTCCAGGTACTTGACAGAGCCTGGGGGCAGTGAGGGAGGAGGGCAGTGAGGAGGGAGCAGCAAGGGTGGGGGGACACTGAGGGTGGGGGTCAGCGAGGGGGAGAACAGCAAGAGAGAGGGCAGTGAAGGGGGGAGTGTGATGGGGGAATCAGCACAGGTGGGGGCCAGCAGGGGGCAGCATTGTGCCTCCCAGAGCACATCTCCCTGCTCCCCCACACCAGGATGGGCCATGCCCACTCACCGATCTCCCGGGCCATGGCCAGGCCCTGGGGGTAGGTGATGGGTGCCAGCTTCTTGTCCCTCAGCCGCTCGATGGTGTCCTTGTCGTCACGGAGGTCCAGCTTGGTGCCCACCAAGAGGATGGGCGTATGGGGGCAGTGGTGCCGCACCTCCGGGTACCACTGTGGGAACGGAGGCTCTGACCCCTACCCCTTGGGGGCTTCTCCCCCAGCCTGGCCCAGAGCAGGCCATGACTCCCAGGGACCCCTTCGTCGTGGCCCCTAGAATCACACTTAGCCCTTCCTGCTTCACCAAATGGCCACTGGGTTTGGTGCAGAAATGACCAAGGACAAAAACACCCAGCCAAGAAGCTTCAAGGCCTATCAGAGCCTCGCAGTCAGGGCCCCTCCCTTCTCTGTGAGCCTTGCTCACCACCCCTACCCAACCCCTGCCCCTTATCACCCCTCGGGCCACCTTCAGACCCCACACCAAGCAGAACAAGCGTCTCCTCTGCCTCCAAAGGACAATTTGCCTGTCCAAGCTCTTCAGGCAAGAGACCTGTCAGGGCAACTCCTCTGGGCAACCCCTCCCCGAAGTCGGACCCCCTCCAGCCCTGCCCTACCTTGGCTCGAACATTTTCAAAGGAGGCCGGGCTCACCAGGGAGAAGCAGATCAGAAAAACGTCCTGGGGACAAAGATGGGGACACCCAGGTGAGGGTGGTCAAGGAGGCTCCAAATGGCCCCTGTCACTGCCATCAGGACCTCAGGGCCCACCTGAGCCACCCAGCTCCTGGGGCTGGCCCTCTGGTCACCTACAGTCTGGGGATAGGAGAGCGGCCGCAGCCGGTCGTAGTCCTCCTGCCCAGCAGTGTCCCACAGTCCCAGGTTGACCGGCTTCCCATCCACCATCACATTCGCAGAATAGTTGTCAAAACTGCAGGAGCAGAGTGGGGAAAGTCAGCCCATGTCTCGGGTTCTCAGGCCTGCACAGAACTGAAATTCTTTCAGCACCTTGGCCCCATGCCAGAAGCCCCGACCAGAGCCACCTGGGCCTGACCTCAAAGCCCAAGGGAGCCCCACGCACAGGCACCCAGGCCTCAGACCAAGCCAGCTCTGGACCCCACCGCCTGGCGCCCACTCACACGGTGGGGATGTACTCTCCCGGGAAGGCATTGGTCGTGTAGCTGATCAGCAAGCAGGTCTTCCCCACGGCGCTGTGGACAGACCATGAGCCCATGTTGCTCCCAGGCCGTGTGCCTCAGCCCTCTGCCCAGCAAAGACAGCCCCCTCCCACAAAGCCAGAGGCCCAGTTAGGGTGCCTGGGGTGGGGACAGAAGTCCCAGCCCAGCAGAACCACAGCGACATAGGACTAAAGGCGGCGGACCATGGCAGGGGGGCCTCCGAGGGCAGAGTGGTTTGTGCCAGCTGGGGCGAGCCGCCTCAGAGCCCCAGGCAGGGCGGCAGACTACCGGACAACCGGGAAGGGTAGGACCCGCTGGGAGTTCAGCCCAGGTGAGAAGCCTGGCCCCACCCACTGGGAGGCCAGGCGGTGGCGGGCGGTTGGCCGGGCAGCATCAGGTGGGCCTGGGCTGGAGGCCTGCGCCCCGCCGCCCGCCAGGACCCCGCCCCACCGTGCCCTCAGCCCCTGCCGGGTCCCGGGTCGCGCGCGGGCCTGGAGGAGGGCGTCAAGGGTGCCGCACCCAGCCCCCGAGCCAGGACCCCCGCCCTGCTCGGGCTGCGCCCCGGAGCCACACGCCTGGCCCGGACAGGATCCCCGGGGCCGCGCCCGCCGCCCGGCCCGCCGCCTCCGCGCCGCACACTCACCCGTCGCCGACCACTACGCACTTAATGGCCTGCATGGGCGCGGGCCGGGCGGCGGGCGCGGCCGCCAGCCCAGCTGCGGAGAAATGCCCGGCGCCGCAGCGGCCGCGGACCGGAGCCGAGCGCCGAGCCGAGAGGACGGAGACTGCCGAGCGCCGCCGAGCGCCGGCGCGAAGATAGCCGAGCGCCGCCGGCGGGGGTCGCGGGTCAGCCCCGAACCCGGGCCGACGCGCCTTCCAGAGAAATCTGGAGTGGAGCGAGGAGCCGGGACACCCGCAGTCTGTCCCCGAGCTCGGGCGCGCTCCAGCTCTGGTTAGGTGCAGGGCCCGGTGCACGGGGGCTCCCGGCCGCTCTCGTGACCAACGCCAAGAGGCAGGGGGAAGCGCAGGCAGGCGATTCCCGCCCACCGGGACGTGCGTGCGGTTGTCTGCGTGCACGTGGTTTCTAAGCAGAGCACTCCCTTCAAGGCCCACTTAGGGCCTGAGACCCACCCACCCTCCCACCTGGAGGTGGCTGGTGAAAAGGGTGTTTGCAGTCACCAGAGTTCCCCCACGGCCGGGATCCCCATATCCGCCCCCGCCCCCCCGTTCTAGTAACTCGACTGTCCCCACCCCGCAGCAGTCAGGAGGGGCGACCCAGTCACACCCTGGAGGGGCTTTCCTGCAGGGTCCAGCAGAGGGTCTCCAGCAGGTTGGGAGCACTGGCTGATGTGGGGGAAAGACTGGGCCCAGAAGTTATCACAAAGTGCAAAAGTCCTATATTTCCAAACAGTCCCAGCACGCAGTAGTGTGCTTTCAGGGCTACGCTGTAAAAGGTGGTTGTGAAATATGGGCTGGGGCTGGGAGAGCTTGGGCTCCCCTCCTCCACATTGCCTTTCATCATGGGAACATTTTCTCAGGCGCATCATTCCCTGGGATTGGGATGGAAGAGTGGGGAAGGGCTGGGGCAGTGGCCACTTGGGCCCTCTTGGCCCTTCAGGCTCTGCGCCCCCGCAGCCAGGCACGTGGTAGTAAGATGCAGCAGTCCCACTGGCCCATCCATCTTGGCACTGATTTTCCAAGTCACCAGCTGTAGACCCTGCTTAAGCTGCCAGGCCCTGCCTGACGGCCTGTCCCTTGGGAGGAAGGGACAGGCAGGAGTGGGACACAGCTGTCACATAGATGCCACCTTCCCGCAGCTCCTGGAGTCTCCCTGCCTCCCTTCACTTTTGGGGGCTCAGGGCCCTCAAGGGGGACCCCTGTACATAAGCCAGGACAGCATTTTGCAGGAAGCTGGCCCTCTGGGCCTCCTCGTCCCGGATCCGGGCGATCTCAGCTTCCTTGAGCCGAAGCTTCTCTCGGAGAGAGGCATTCTCGCTCTCCCTGTCCAGCAGCGCCTCCCGGTGATCACTCGCCATCACTGCAGGGGAGGAAGCTCACTGAGGAGGGGGCGCTGGGTGCTGCCTGGGCACCCACCATTCCAGAGGCCCACAGAGGGGCCGGGCGGGGCTTGCTCAGGGTCCCCTGGACACAGACACACCCGGCCTTTCATGCCAGCACCTCTTGGAGCTGAGACCAGGCCAACCTCAGCTCTCAAGGCCAGCCGCCTGTCAGATGACCCAGTAAGAAAAGGTCCCACAGAGGTGGCATGGGGGTCTTGGAGCTCAGCTCACCTTTGAGCTGGCGCTCCAGGGCAGCCGCCTTCTCCTTCAGAGCTTCCTGGGCTGTCAGCTCGGCCTGCAGGCGGCCGTTCTGCTCCTGCAGCTCCACTCGCACTCTGGTCACCTCAGCCACCTTTTCCTGGTCCTTTTTGCTCAGCTCCTGCCAGGCATGGGGGGTTAGATGGCAGCTGGGGGGCCAAGGACACCCCTGGGAGCCCTCAAAGTCTCGGCTACCTGCTGTAGTTCCTCCAGGCGCCGCCTCAGGCCCTCTACCTGCAGGCCGAGCTGGCTGGCCCGTGCCTGGCTATCGGCCACTGTCTGCTTCTGCTGCAGGCATGCGCTTTGAGCCTCGTCCCGTGCCTGCGCCAGCAGCCGCAGCTTCTCCTCCAGGTGAGCCAGGCGCTGCTGCTGTGGGCACAGGAGGGGCTGGTGAGCACAAGGGGGCTCAAAGCCTGCCTGCTGCTTTCTGATGTGTGGGCCCGAGCTCACATGAGGAGTGACCCCCCTGCTTGGACCAAGGGGAGCTTTTATTTGCAACGTGGAAACCGCCCTGTTGCTCAAGTTATTATGTGTATTGTTCTGAACAGGCTCAACTTGAACAAGTGTCCAGGGAGCACCCTTCCTGGGCTCCCCTTCCCCACCTCCCCGGCCAATTCCTCTGGTCTCCACCTTCAGCCATGCAGTCACAGGCTGCACAGATGGGCCAGACCCCTTCCCCCAACTCAGGGCTTGACGATGGTGGCTCTTGGTGGAGGGCTTGACATGGCGCTGATAGGATGACTGTCCTGCTCTGACTTCTCCCCACCCCTTGTACCCCTGGAATTCCTGTCTCCGTCTCCTCCCACCCCCGTCTCACCCTACAGAACGAGCAGACAGCCCTGGTCTTGCCAGCTTCACCCCTGCAGGCTGTGCCATCCCAGGCAGCTCATGCCGGCCCCTCAGACCTCACTCCCTGGTGGGTGCTACAAGCCGTGGGCTCGGGCCCTGGCATGGCTGTAGCCGTGAGCTCACCTCCTCTAGACGAACTTGGCTCTTGGCCTTAATGAGCTCCTCCTCCACCTGGCCACGCTCACTGAGTGCTACAGCCTTCGCTCGGCTCAGCTCCTGCACCGCAGACAGTGACTCACTGGGCCTGTCCTCCTGCCCTGGCCCAGGGACCCCCTCCTGGCCCCACCCAGCTGCTGAGTGGGGGGGAGGGGGGACGATGACGACGACTCCACCAGCCTCCTGAGGGCTTCCTTCACTAGGCAGGGTTCCCATGGCCAAGAGAGCCTTTGTCCCACCTTACTAAGTCCTTCTGGTCTCACAAGGTCACAGGATCCCAAAGGGGAACCTGATGAGGCTCTGAGACCATGGAACGGGTGCCCCAGGGGAGGGCAGAACCCAGTGCCCAGCCAGCGCGTGCTCACCTCCTCCAGGGACCGCCGTGTGGCCTCCAGCCTCTGTACCCTCTCCTGCATGGCCCTTTCGCTCTCTTCCAGGTGGCGAGTCATGTGTTCCACCTGCCCAGGTGTGGGGCGGGTATGGGGCTGGCAGGCTGGCACCCCAGCCTTCTCCCTATGGGATCCCCTCCCTGGGAGGCAGGTGAATCTTGGGGACCTTGTTCCTTCCAAGAAGTGGCTGCCCCAAGTGGCCTCACAAGAAGCAAGAATGGAGGACACATCCCAGCGCCACACCCCAAGTGGCATGAAGCACACAGCAGTCTACACTGTGGCCCCAGCACAGTCGGGATCCCTTCTAGAGCCTGGTCTGAAGACAGTAGGTCTGACATCTGCCAGGACTAGCAGAGAACTGCCCCCTAGCAGGCCAAGGTTGTTGAGGGGAGCCCGGCCAGGGGACATGGTGCTTTGGGGACACCATGCCACGTTGAGCAGACGACACAACGAATGAGGCACCTCCTTGAAGCGCAGCTGCTCTGAGTCCTCCAAGCTCTGTCGGGACCTTTTCTTCTCCAGCTCCAGGCGCTCTGGAAGCCCAGGAAGAAGAGCATGGGTGGGACTGCTCTGAGGGTCTCCTCTTTCCCAGGGCTCCCCATCCTCCCCTGCCCCCAGGGCTGCAGTCTCCAGGCCCCTCAGTGGCCAGCCTGTGCATGCCCACCCTCAGCCTGGACAGCCCGCATCTTCAGCTCAGCCGACGTGTTGGTCAGCTCCTGCCTGGTCAGGAACAGCTGCTCCTGCTGAGATTTCACCTTCCGCTCCAACTCATCCACCTGGAGAGCCAGCACCGTGAGAGGGAAGCTTTGGCCCCAGTCCCGCGGCCCCTGCCCCAGTCTCCCCGGGGGGCCTGGCCCCGCATCCCCACACCTGGTTCCGCAGAAGCAGGTTCTTTTCGTTGGCAGCAGACAAGTCTCTGAGGAGCTTAGACTCCCGCTCCGCAGCTTCCTAGGGGTGAGAAGGGGAAAGGGTACCACCGGTCCCCTGCCACCATGTACCCCCTGCCTGCCCCGCACCCACCCACCTGCCCACCTGCTGCTCTAGCCTGTGCTCCTTTGCCTGCCTCTGCACCAGGCTCTGCTGCTCCTGCTCTGCAGTGACCAGGAGCTCCCCCAGGTCCTGGGCCTTCTGCTCCGACAGAGCCAGGGCAGCCTCAGCCATCTGTAGCCTGCAAGAGGGGAAGGGCCAGCCCAGCCCCGGGCCCTCCATGAGCCCCGGCCTGGCCCCCCCTCGAGCCTTGCAAAGGCCTCACTGTTCTCACTCTTATCAGTCTACTCTTCACCCCAGCTAGTGCTCACCTCCTCCAGGCAACCCTCCCAGGTTACCAACCAGCTGTTACCACCTCTCCTTTGTACACTGGGGACTCGGGTCCTTGTCTGTACCACCCTCCTCTGCCCCATGGGCACACCTCTAAGGTGTTCTGAAGCCGCCCCTCCACCCCCACTTACTTGGCCTTGAGGGCATTGATAATGGAGTGTCTCTCATTCAGGGCTTCCTGAAACTGCCCCAAGCGTGCTGCTGAGGCCCTGTGGGCAGAGAGGAGGGTCCGAGAAACCCAAACCCAAACCGCAGAGCCCTCTGGGGCCCCCTTGGCCCTGGCAGCAGCTGCTGTTCCTCACGCTTCTCCAACAGCCCAGGTGCTGAGCCAAGAAGTGCTTTGTGCAGCCTCTAACCCTCCAGCCAACTTCCTCAGAAGCACACGCTATGACCTCATCCATGGGCAAGTGACAAGGCTCAGGTGTGGTCACCTCCGAGGCCAGAGCCAGGACCCAAACCTCTCGCACCCCAACTGAGCCCCAGCTCTGCCTCCCGCAGCCCCGGGCTGTGCTCACCTGCTGCTCCGGGCCATCTCTTCTCGCTGCTTATCGATCGTCTCCATCAAGTCCAGAAACTGGGGACAGAGCCGGCCAGAGCCCTGTCAGGACCCAGAGCCTGCCTGCTCCCCCTGGTCAGGTGGGAAGGAAAGCAGATACCCACTGAGGCAGCAGGACGACAGAGGGTTCAGCCTCAGCCAAAGAGAGGCTGGCTCCCACACACGGAGGCCCAGAGCCCCCGGGAAAGGCCTGCTGGCCAGAGGGAGCTAGACCAAGAGGCCACCTCTCGGGCCTGTGTGTTGGCCCCTCGGAGAGGCTCCAGGACCCAGAAGAAGGGAAGATGGTCAGGGCACAGGGCCTGGGGGAGCCCTTTGTCCATGCAGCCAGGGCAGGGCCAGGGGATGAGGCTCTGCGGTCTGAGGTGCTGCTGTCCCCACCTGCTTGGACTTCTCTTCTCGGAGGTGCTGCATCTCCTTGCTGAGCACGTGGGCACAGGTCTGGTTCTCCCAGAAGGTGGTCTGCCAGTCCTGGTTGTGGTCCATGGCTTGTTCTGGTGGAAGGATCCAAGTTACCCACCAGGGGAGCTGCTCGGTTTTGGGAGTGGCCACCAGCTGGGCCAGCCCTGTACCCAGAAGCCAGTCATCCAGGAATCAACACTGTGTGAGGCAGTGTCTCACCCCACAAACCAAACAGTGCACTCCCCAGTGCACTAGGGGATGAAGGGCTTCAGCGGGGGCGGGAGTTGGGGCAACAGTGGGGCCAGGAGCCGGGGAGGTGCCTGGTGCAGGGGGCATACACATGGGGAGGGATGGGGGAGGCTATTCAACTGCTAGAAGAGGTGAGCACATTCTGGGGCATTTGGGCTCCATACCAAGGGTCAAATACCACTGTATGACTTAAGAGATGAATGCTGTGCTCAGTTCCTGTGTTCTGGAAACATCCAGGCAGCATTTGGAGAGGGGCCAGACAGAAGTGGCTATGGCATAAGAGGTGATTACAACAGCTGGGGTGACTCAGAGGCAGGGCCAAGAACCAAGAAGTCAGAGATGACACAGCTTGGGCAGATCCAACAGGAGGTGGTGACCCTGTGCAGGGTCCCAGTCCAAGTTTAGGCCCTCGGGTGGCTGGCACTGCCAGCAGGACAAAGAACCATGGAGAGTGGCAAAGTGCTCAGCCAGGCCTGAGGCTGAGGTGTCAGGGTCACCAAGGGAGGGGACCATAGAGACTGTGGCTCCAGCAAAGGCAGCTCGGGTCGGGTGGCCCCGCTCTCACACGGCTCATGTGCACAGCCATGAACTCCAGGTGATGGGGGGAGGGCAGATGCTGAGAAGCCCCTCCCAAGCTGTGGCTGGGCCACCTGAGGCAGCAGCATGGTCATTAGCACAAGGCCCTGAGCCACACTGCCTCAGCTTCCTTCTCTGTGAAATGGGTGACCTCATGGGGTCTAAGAACCAAGTGAGGACATGCAAGCGGTGCAAAGAGCAGCTCTGGGCAGTAGCTACGTGATCTCATTGCCCTTTCTTTCCTGTGCCGCCCTCTTCCTCTCCCTCTCTCTCTCCATTTGTCATTTAGGCTGCCATCATTATGCATTTACGTGCCCCGAGCCCTGAGCCGCCCCTGCTTCAGTGGCTGGGCCTCTGTCAGAGCAAATCAACTTTATGCCCTGTTCCAAACACTGCAAGCCACCAGCAGCCCCATGCGCCCATACCCACGGCTCTGAGGATATCTCCAGGGACGCCGTTCCCAGCCAGCTCCAGCCTCCACAGGGTTCTGTTGCTGGGGAGACAGTTCACCAGGGCCCGGCCACCCAGGAGGCCAATGTTATTCCAGCGCAGGTCTGGAAGGAAACCAGTGTCACCAGACAGAATGCAGGGAGGGGCTGGCCTAGCTCGGATGCTTCCTTTGCAGGGAGGGTATTCCGTGATCACCAACAGAGCAGGAGCCCCACTCAGCATGCCCCTTCTCCCTAACAGCCCTACTCTCTCTCAATTCTGCTTTCAGGAGAGGACAAAAGAAGCAGGGGGAGGACTGAAGCAGCAACAGGATGCAGGACCTGGGAGAGTGGGCCAGCGCCAGGAGCCTCACCCAGCTGCTGGAGGCTGGCGTTGCTCTTCAGGGCCAGGGCCAGCTCTTCTGCACCCTTATGGCTGATCTGGTTGTTACGGAGGTCCAGGTGCTGCAGGGCGCCGTTGGTGGCTAGGGCCCCGCAAAAGGTGGCGAAGGCATCTTCCCATGTGCCCAGGTTATTCCACTCCAGGGTGAGGCTGCAGGAAGGGTGGACGTGAAGTACATGGGGCCGAGGAGCACCCTGCTCCCATGGGGTCAACGGGGGCTTGAGAAGCGGCACAGGCTTGGGGGTCTCTGGCAGAAAGGTTGAAGCCACATGAGTAACTTATACCTGCCTACTCCCCACCAGGAGATGGGAAACGCACAACGGGCCTGAAGGAGAGAACTCTCTCCGGTTGTGGAACATTGTTCTCTGGGGCCAATTCTGAACTGTGCGGAGAAAGAGGGGGCTGGGGGGAGGGGGGCGAGGCTGGACAGCCCCCTTACCTCTGAATGGACTTGTTCTGTCGGAGGAGTTTTCCCAGAGCCTCGGCCCCTGCAGCTCGAAGGTTATTGCCCTAGGACAGGAAGAGGCAGGCAGTCATTCCCTGTCGACCAGGCTGGGCTCAGAATACCACATCCACACTCCACAGGACCCTAGTCAGGCAGTGGGCGAGGCCAGGCTGCAAGCTCTGGGCAGGGGTGCGGCTCCTCTCAGATTCCGCTTTCCCTGACTGCAGTGGGCCCCCGCACGCAGTGGGCCCCCAGGTGCGGGCTCGTTCAGTTTGCTTACATTAACACTCTGGAACTCAGTTCCTGCCCTCAGAACATCTGCACACACGCATGAGACCATGAGAAAATGGGGTGGAGCAATGTGTGCCAAGAGCACTTACAGACTCAGCCTCTGGCCACCAGCCAGACCTCTGGTCCCTGGGACACCCGCCCCTCCCCCGCCACTCCCGCTCTCAGGTGACACACCCCTAAGTGCACATCCACTCACTTTTAGATCCAGGAACCGCACAACGGTGTTAGTGCACAGCCCCTGGAGCAGCAGTGTGGCCCCTGTAAGGGAGTAGGGTGCTCATTCTCTGCCCCTGGTGGCCTGAGCCCCTCCCTGTGGGCAGCTCCCCAGACATAGGGGAGAGACAACTGTCCCAGTGGCCCCCACTGGTCAGGGTTCATGCCGGAAATGAGTCGCCCCACTCGTTGTGTCAGGTTTGAAACATCTGCAACCTCTGCCAGGTGCGGAGCCAGGCCACTGACCCTCTCGCTCACCAGCACACTGGGGCTCTCCCAAGTCAGGGGATGCTAAGGCTTCTTCATTACAAAGAGAAATTGCCCTCCACTCCCAGGTTTCAAGAAGGAACACTGCTACTTGTTTTAACTGCAGTACAGAAGAGGAGAAACCTCATAAAGAAGTGATCAGGTGGGATGGAAGAGTTCTCTACCAGAGGGAGGCAGCCGAGGACTGGGTGTGTGCAGCGACTGGGCGGCAGGGCAAACAAAGCAAGAGGAGGCCGCCCTGAGGCAAAACGCTTGACTCCAACCCCGACTCTGAAGTTGCCAGGGCTCCCTGGCCCCTGCCTGCCCTCGGGTGCCTACCTTCCTCACTCAGCATGCAATCACTCAGGACTAGCTGGGTCAACAGTGCCTCCTTCTGCAGCAGCTTGCCCAGGGCCCTGCAGGTGTCCACAGTCAGGCTCTGTGTGGCCAGGTCCAGCCGGCCCCGCGGCAGCTCGTGCAGTTGCTGCAGGACAGTCTCCTGGGGCTCGGCCCCGCTTTCCTTGCACAGCCGGCTGTAGGAGCGCCAGAGCTCCTCCATGTCCCTGGTGCTAGCCGGGCTCCCTCCGGTGCTCCAGAGACGGGCCTCACCGGGAGCCGCTGGGCAGGGAACCAAGGGCAGGGGGACGCTCGCCTCGTTACGGCTCCTCTGGCGGCAGGCAGAACCTCTCCCCGGGGGCCTACAGAGAGAGAGAGCCCGGCAGCTCAGCGTGGGGCGCGACGACCCCTAAGTCCTCCCAGCCCAGCAACCACGAGCAAGCGGGGTTGGTTCTGGCGGGAGATGGTCAGGAAGCCGCTCGAGCAGGGGACCCGCCCCTCGGAGACAGGGCCTCCCGCGGCGGGGCTGGTCCGGGCGTCGCACGTACCCCGGACCCCGGTCCCCCGCCCTCGCGCCGCGGACCCTCGCTCGCTCGCCGCGGGTCTACGCGGCCGCCGAGGCGCCTCAGTATCCAGGAAGAGCAAGGTGCGCCGGGAAGCGCTGGCGGAAACTACAACTCCCAGGAGGCTTTGCGTAGGAGGGGCGCTCGCCGCGGGCCAATGACGGCGAAGGGGCAGGCGCGCGCTGCGGGCCGCCAGCCCGAGGAGCAGAGGCAGCACGCTCCGGTGCCATTGGGTAGGGGCGGGGAGGGACTGAGGAGGGCGCGCTCAGAACTGATTGGCTGGGGACTCGGAGGCAGGGCTGCGGAGGGCGCGCTCCGGGCTGATTGGCTTGGGGCTCGGGGACGGGGTCTGCGGACGGTGTGAGCGGGGCGGCGGTCATGGAGGGAACCTGCGCTGGTTTCCGGAAAGTGAGAGAGGGCCGGCTGGGCGGGCGGGGGGTTCCGGGGCGGCGGGGGCACTGCGGTCTGGCCCCACGCATGACCCACGTGCGGGCCCTGAGCTAGCCCCCGCGGTGCCCGCTGGGGCCTTCCAGGGTGGGCCCATTCCCAGAATCCGGCCACGACCCCCATCCCGCGCGCCCTTCACCTCCGGTCGGTAGGGTCCCGCGGCCGGTGGCAGAAGGTTGGGCAGGCAGCCTGGTCTGCAGCACGAGGGAGCGGGTTGCAGAAACCGGGCAAGGGTGGGTGGCGCCGCGGCGGAATGCAGGGGGCTCAGAGAAGAGCCCGGGCCCGCCGCCTCCCGCCCCGCCCTGATGCTCGGGGATCTGGCGGGACCTCCCTAAACCGCCGCGCGTAGAGCGCAGTTCCGCCCGGCTCGCTGACAGTCACGCTGCCCGCGTATTCTAAAGAGCCCGGCGCCGAACTGCGTTTCTGGCAGCCTGTTTGTGCTCCGTCTGGTGTTAGGGCTCTACAAGTGCTTTCTTAGCAACACCCTAGCACAGTCAGGCACTGTTACTGTTACATGCACTTGACGTAGATTCACCCGTGTAATGTTCAGTCACCCTAGGAGATGGGTACTAGTACCATCCCCATTTACCAGTGGGGAAACTGAGGCAAGGCTAGGGTCAAACCCAGGCCATCCGACTCCAGAGTCTCGCCTTGTGCTCTGCACCTGGCTACGGCTGCTCTGGGTGAGTGGGTAGCAAGGCCCCTGCTGGCTCCCATGCCCTGCAGGCTATGAGTGGTTTCTGAGTCTCATTTTGTTGCTCTGCTCTAAGGTTAGGAGGCACTGAGCCCTTGATGTCAGGAAGGTGCTCCAGGAGGACCTGTGAGCTTTTGTGACCTGGGGAGGAAAGGAGGGTCTCAGTCCCTCGTGAGCACTTCCTTGTCCCACACCTCACCGGTGGGGGTTTCAACCTTGCAGAGGCTCAGGGGAGTTCTCTTTGGTTCACCTTCTGCTGCTTCTCCTTTTTCACCCAGGCTCGTGGCTCTGCCCTGGCGCAGAAGGGGTCAGTGATCTAAAAGGGAAAGTCACTGAGGCTGGGGCGACCTGGCAGGGTGATTGTGAGAATCCGCCCATCGTAGTAGCTGAAGAGGGGAGCACCAGGCTTGGCCTCCATCATGCTGCCCTGGACAGCTCTGGAGTCCTTGGCCCAAGGGCTCTGGCCAGAGTGGGGTTGTGGTCATTACGTATGAGCAGGGCTGTCCCAGTTGCAAGTATCAGGGAGGGGCAAAGGCTGAACACATCCCAGGTCCCCTCTTGTCCTCCGTGAGTTCAAGTCACTCGTTTGTTCAGGGAACCACCACTCCCAGCTGGTGCTAGATGTCGCAACAGCCCCATGCAGCAGCCCCCCATGCAGCAGCCTGGCTGATTTAGCTTTTCCTGGAGGTCCAGGAGCAGGTGGTGCAATAGACCCTTCTGGGCCTTTTCTGGTACCTTCCTGGTAAGCAGCAAGAAGGACCAGCAGGTGGTGCCAAGCTCACGCGGTCACTGCTGGGAGGGAAAAGCCGCTGCAGCCACTTCCTCAAGTGACTGCTTCCCCAACTGACCAGGTGGCAAGTTCTTACCCTTCTGAGCCTGGGCAGCATCCTCTGTCCACTCCGCTCTGCTCTTGGGCTTTGCTGAGCTGCGCTGAGCGAGGTAGCGCGACCTCCCGTGGCTAAGGCTGGAAGGCTGAACGGTCCCCAGCTCACCTTCCCTGCACAACACCCTGTCTCTGGGCTCCTGCTGCTGCTGTCCTCCCAACTCCCCATGTGCTCTGCTGGCTCCTCGTTTGCAGCCTCTTCTGGCTGGTCCCTGCCCTCAGCAACCTCACGTGGTCCACCCACATGCTGCCACCTCCCAAATCCTCATGGCCAGCTCCAACCTTCCAGAAGGCCCTTCTCTCAGCTCCAACCGCCCCTCTGGCCACTCTGCTTGGGTGCCTCATGTGTCTCTCTGAACGTGTCCCAAGCTGAGCTTGAGTCCCTGGACCCCAGAATCCATCTCTGTCCACAGCCCCTATCTCTGCAGAGTGGCACCATCCTTTGGAGGCTTAAGCCCCCACCTTGAGGAATCTTGGCCTGGACCCATCCTTGTCTCATCCTTGGTCATCAAGAAGTCCTACAGATATGTCCAGGCTCTGTGCCCCCATCCCCTGTCCACCCTGACCACCCATTGAGGCTGTAGCCCAGCCCTGCCCAGCACTGCGGTTCCTATAGTGTCTGTCCTGTTACAAGAGGATTCTCTTTGGCACCACCTGCACTGCATGTTGTAGGCTCCAGGGAGGGACCTCGGTTGGAGGGTCTGACACAAGCTAGGCAGTGTTGGCAGACAGACCTGTGAAGAGGCCCATGGTGGGAGTGGCTACCTCCAGCCCCTTGAGGGGAGAGCGCTTTGGTCCCAGGGGTGGGGACACAAGAGTGCCCTGGATTTCACAAGGACTGGAGCCCCAGAGAACACCAAGCAGGCACCTGGGCTGCTTCCACCTGCCTTGCACATGTGTCTAATTTCTGGGCCTCCTGGAGACATCTACGGGGAAGTTTCTCCCCACCGCCTCGTCCCCCACCCTGGGAGAGGCCCGTGGGCAGAGGGCATTTCCGATTGGAAATTACATCCCCACCCAGAACTAAATGCCTAAGGGGTCTGCAGCAGTCAGAGGGATGGGGGCAGGGGCAGTGGGCCACTGACACCCCTTCGTCCCCCCCAGGAACTGGTGAGCAAGCTGCTGTACCTGCACTTTAAGGACGACAAGACCAAAGGTGTGTGACACCAGCTGGGAGGCGGACAGGACCCCACATCGCAGCTCTGCAGGGCCAGGGCCACCAGGAGGGCCGGGGTGGGGAGGGCTAGGAGTCACCCGCGCAAGGATGAGCCAGGTGAGAAGTAGTGAGGAAAGAAGTGGGGGGTGGGACTGCAGCCCCTGGCTAGGGCACAGGGAGGGCGCAGGGATCCTGTAACCTGCTCCCCTCCACCTTGCAGTCAGCGGGGACGCACTGCAGCTCATGGCCGAGTTGCTGAAGATCTTTGTCGTGGGTAAGCCGAGGGATCCCAGCAGCGTCCTCTGATGTCCAACCTGGGCTCACCCAGACCATCCATGACCCTTTCGCATTTTTCATGGGGAAACCAGGACATGTATTTTTCCCATTTTCCCACAAGCACCTGAGCTCTGTGTCCCTGGAAAGTTGTGTTTCAGAGGCCACAACCTCCATCTCCTGAGCTGCCAGCTAGCACAGGGGGGGGGCTGAGGCTGAGGCCCAGGGGGCTGCAGGGTTCAAGCCCCCCCAACCTTCTTCGCCTCTCACTTTCCTCCTGTGTCGCGGCAGAGGCGGCCATCCGCAGCATCTGGCAGGCCCAGGCAGAGGACCTGGCCCTCGTGGACGTGGACCAGCTGGAGAAGGTGCTGCCACAGCTGGTAGGTGGGCCCGGCAGAGGGAGCAGCGTGCCCTCCAGGAGCGGGGGCTGGCAAAGGAGATGAGGGGTGCGCTGGCACCCATGAGGCTCTGAGCGCTCCTCTCCCCCACAGCTTCTAGACTTCTAGGGGTTTCCGTGCTTGCTGCGGCTGCCTGTCCAAGTCACAGCCAAGCCCCGTGTTCATGTGTCGTCTGTGGCCTCTGACTTCAGGCAAGGAAGGAGCTGCTGATCCCTGAGATTCTCCTCCCACCCCGAAGACTGGGCCAGGTCCCAGCAAAAGCACCTCTCCTCCTAGTGTCCTCTCTGCCCTGCTGCCGACAGCCTGGACGCAGCAGATGGGGGGGCGCTGAGGTGATGGCGGGCCTGTGTGGGGAGCCAGGCCCATGGGGTCTGGCGCCACAGCAGGTGCCCATCCCTCGTGCCTCCCAGGACAGCCGAGCACCCGCTGGCGTGGGAGAAGCGCTGGGTCCTTGGGAAGCAGGTGCTGAGGGAGAAGTGGGGACCAGTCCACCTGAGCAGGTAACCTGTGTGTCTTCTACAAACAAGCGGAGCTGCACACAGTCCTGCCACCCCGACATCAAAGCTGGTGTGTAACCTTTTAACCATTTGATATTCCCCTCAGAAGATGCTTCCCTGAGCTATAAATTTGTTCTCGTAAAGCAACATCAATAAATCAAAGCTGCCTCTCCCAGGCGCTGCCTCCTTGTTGCCCTTAATCACCTAAAGTCAAGTTGCTTCAAAACCTACTCACCCCCTCTATCAACGTTGGTAAGACAAAAGTAAAGCTCTGAGAAAGGACAGAATAACAAACAGCATGTGTGAGTGCCCTGCCGTGGGCCGGGCTGCGGAGAGGGGCTGTGAAATCGGAGCCCTTGCACATGTGCCTGCTCTTCTGGAAGTAGTACTCCTGCCACGGGGTTGCTGTGGTTGTGGGGTTGCCACCAGCCAGCAGGTGCGCCCGGAAATGTCGGTGTGGGCAGGGTCTGCTGGTGGGGGATCATGCTGGTGCAAAGGACCAGGATGTGCAGGGTGGGAAGAACCTAGAGACCAGCCATCAGGCCCCTGCCCCAACACCAGGGCCCTTCCCACCGCAGAGACTCAGACCAGCGCGGGACCCACTAGAAGGCCCACCTGGGAGATATGGCTGCCCTGGATGCTCAAGGGCCTCTGGGGCCCAGCTTCTTTGGCTCAAGTCTGGGCCACCCCCCAACCTGGCCCTCCCTACCCGGCAGCACCCACCTCCCTTTAGTTCTAAAATCTGCTTTGACTCGTCAGAGCCCAGAATAGGAACACCCAAAGGGCTCTGGGCCGTGACTAGAGTCAGGACATGGAGCCGCAAGACATGGTCCACTGGGGAGGGACATCCAGGTTGGGGAGGCAGGTGGGACAACCGCTGCCCCTGGCTGAGCCACCCCACCCACACTTGCCCCACCTCTGTGCCCTCCCACCCCTGCACCTGAGGATGGTGTGGGTTGGTGGGGCAAGCCCCCCCCAATTCACCCCTGCTGGCCCCTTCCTGCACCTCTTCCTTCCCTGCCTCTGCCCCACCCTCCCCACCCCCCGCAGTCTCTGGGCTTCAGAGCACTAGGAGCATATGGAAGTAATTAGACCTGAAGGGGGAGGCTGGTGACAAGTGCCAGAACCCGTGCCCCACAGCCACTTTGAAGTGCGCTCAGATGGCGGGGGCGGGCGGGGCACTGGGAAACCCCAGGCCAGCACTCCCCAGCCACATGGTCCAGCCCTCTGCACCAGGGCTGGGGTGGCCCGGCCTGTAACAGCCAGGCGACCTGTGAGGCAGTGGGTGATGCCTGGAGGCCTTTCTTCTCACACCTCAGAGGGGGAGTAATTAACAATGTCAATTAGGTAAAAACCAAGAGGAGGTGGCCTGAGGTTCAGGGAGGACACTTGTGCCCTTGTTAACGAGAGCAAGGCCCCAGCAAGCAGCCCCCGGCCCACACCCTGGTCCAGCCTGGCTGCAGGACTGGCTGGCCCTGGGGTTGGGAGTAGCTGGAGGCCTGTGCCTGCGAGGCTGGGGCAGAGGACCCAGAGGCCCTCTTCAGGAGAAAGGAAGACAGGAGAGTCTCATGAGGGTCAGGAAAGAAGCTTGAGCTTTTATTCCTGCTGAGGGTGGGGAGGGGTCCTGTGGCCGGCAGAGTGGGGACCTCCAGTGTGGCAGCTCTCACCTCTTGCTAGCTGCAGTACAAACACACCAGGATGACCTTGGGGGCCCTGGGCCCCCACCCAGAAGCCCTTCCCCACCCAGCCACCCACCACAGTACCTGGCAGCTTCAGCCATTTGGGCATCTTGCCCAGATCCCTCCTCACAGGCTGGGCTGTCCCAGGGCTGGGCTCAGGGGGCCCCTCAGCAGTTGGCTCCAACTCAACGGGTGTCAGGTCAGGGGCTGGCAGCGGGGATGGGGTCCCAGTGGCCCTGGACAGGCACCTGGGGATGGAAGGCCAAGGCTTATGATAGTAGGCACTGCAGCAGTGGGCTCACCCCACCCCTCTGCAGGCACTCACCTAGCCACCAGCACGTCAGCTGCAGACGGGGAGATAGTGTGTTCCAGCAGCCTGGCCTCCAGGTAGAAGCCTGTAAGATGCCCAGTCTGCCCTCAGGTCACGGAGGTGGAAGAGGGGGTCCCACCCACCACCGCTGCTCTGCAATGGGAAGGGACATGGCCTGGGCAGGTGGCTGTCCCAGCCCAAAGCCCCCAGGGAGTAGGGGATCGTGGTATCTGGGCCGCAGGTCTCCCTCCCAGGCCCGAAGGAAGTCCCCTGCTCTGGGACGTTGATGAGCTGGAACACGGGGACCAGGGCTGGCTGGTGGTGATGGGCAAAGCAAGGGGCCCCCACCTACCTGTGGGCTCCTCAGATCCAAAGTGCACGAGGGCAGCAGGAAAGAGGTTTGCCTGCAAGGATGGCAGAGGGGAGCTTAGGGGGCCAGGTGGGTGCCAGGTGGGCACTGTGGGCAGAGGCCAGTGGGGAAGGTGGGCTGCACCCTACTTCCTGTGGTGGCCTCATGAGGGCTGCACCCGGAGGCAAGCCACACTCACCAGGCCCAGGGCTCTGTTGAGGAGGGCTACGGCCCCCAGCAGGCCGCTGCCATGAGCACAGTCCATTGCCCGGTCCCCATGAGCTGCCCCCAGCCAGGCTTTGCCTGCTCCTTCTCTGGCACCAATCCCAGGGCAAGCCAGGCTAGGGCGTCAGACCACAGGGGACTCTCGAGGGACCAGCCCCAAGCACCAGCTGGACAGGAAGTTCTTGTAGTTTGTGCGCTCTGGCATTTTTAATCACCTCTTCTCCCTCCTGCCCAGTTCCTGGGGTGAACGGCTAACATTCTGAAGGCAGGAAGTAGGCCTGGAAGTCCCCACCCTCTGCAGAGACTGTAGGAGGCAGACAGATCAGAGGAGATACAAACAGACACACAGAACTGCGTGGTGGGAGTACAGGGCAGAGAATGGCCAGGGAGGCCGGAGCGGCATAGGGTGGCTGCCAGCTGGGGCCCCCAGCCTATGCTGTCCCCCTCCCCCATCCATGTTGCCTGAAGAACAGAGAGCGCGGGGGTCTTCAGGGGCAGCCAGACCCCTGAGGGGGTCACCTTCAGGCTGAGGGCAAGCACCCAGACCTGCTGGGAGCAGCTGGCCAGGAGACAGGAGCACCATGGGGGGACCCTCAGCTGGCCCAGGCCCAGGCCCAGGCATGGGGAGTGGGCGACTTGTGGAGACAAGTTGCTTTAGGAGTCCAGGGCCAGAGGTGCTGCCCAGGTCTGCTGCCTTTGAGAGTCCACCAGCCAAGACCCTGAACGCCAATGCTCAGGTTCCCTGACTCAACACTGGGTGGGTTTCGCCTGGTGGGGAAGAGCCAGTGGCAGCTAGTGCGAAGCCCCACCCGCAGAGCGGGCACTGCACTGGGGTCCACACATCCCGCCCTGGGGGGTCCGGGAACTGTGCCTCTCCTGAGCTCCCATCTGTAGGGTTGGTGGCTCAGGGTTTCTGCTCAGGGACTGGCCTCGCCTGCAGAAGCGTGGGATGAAGATGGGTCATACTACCCCTGACATGCCCCTGTAGGCCTCCCAGGCAGGGGGCTGGATGGTAGTACAGAACCAAAGCTATAGGCAGAAGGCCCCAGAGCACCCCCGGCGTCATAACCTGCCTTCCACTCCCACCTCTTCAACCAAGGAGGACCATGGCTGCAAGCCCCAAAGCTGGCCCGAGGTAGCAACGATGCTACTGCCCAAGGATCCGTGTCCTCGGTCCTCGGTGGAAAGGCCACAGCTGCCAGATGAGCGCATCCTCTCTGCTCTTGGCCCTGAGCTCTCGGAGTCAGGGTGATGGGTATTAATAAAAGGAAGCTTCAAAAACCAGGCCTAGGAACACTGAGACTGCAGCCAAAGCCAAGGGACACAGATTAAGGGCTGTGAATGCTCTGAAAACCCCACTGTGACACCTGGGACCAAAGATTCGTGTGGAAGGATGCCCTGGGGGTCTGCGGGGGCTGCCCCAGGGCCCTGGAGGCACTGGAAGCTGGGAGGTGTCCAGGGAACAGGAAGGAGACGTGGGGAGGACAGCGCCCCTACCTTCCCTGGGCTCAGCTTAGCTGGACCCCGACTCAGCCAATGCACCAGGTGCCGGGGGCCACCCTCCCAGCACCGCGCTGGATGGCATTGTACCCATTTCACAGGACCCTGCCCAAGCCCACCCAGCCAGGCCATCTGGGGGCTGTAGAGCTTGAAGCCTTGAAGATCCCTCCTACCAGCTGGGAGTCCTTCGGGCCCCTCGGAGCAGCTCCTCTTGAACTTGGCCTCCCTGTTTCCCCTCAGCACCTGCTGGAAGCCTTCTTCCCACTGGCTTGTATCTCTTGAATCCCAACCAAATAAGGGGTGAGTGGACAGCACAGAAGACCACCATGACCAACACGAGGGAAGGTCTACCTGTCTGCTCAGGCTGAGGAGATCCCTGCAGATCCTGGTGGTCTTCAGAGCCTGCTAAGGGAGATGCCTGAGCCAGGGACAAGGCAGTAGGCGGGGGGCTGAGATGGAGGCAGAACAAGGCCCCCTGGGGCTTGGGGCAGCACGCAGCACTAAAGGGGGCTCAGACCCAGGAAGCAGGTTTGATGTGGGGCCTTTGTGCCCACCAACTGTGTCCCTGCATCCTCCCATCCTGTCCTCAACCCTGCCCTCTCTCAGCAAACACTCACTCTCCTGGTCCAGCAGCCAAAAAGGGCAGCTGGGCTGCCATCCCCCACACCCACCCCATGCTGTCACTCTCTGAAACTCGGGCCGGCTCCAGGGCAGCCAGCAGCCAGAGCACGGCCCTGCCAGGGACATGAAAGCCGGCGGCTTCCTCGCCTGCTCACTCGCGCCCGCTCACTGGCGGGAGGGAGGAAGCCTTCCTTCCCTGAGTCCTGCCAGCTCTCTGATCGCCGGCAGGCAGGGACACCACCCCGCGCAGAAGCCTTGCGGCTCCAAGGCTGAGCTGACGGATGAAAGGAGACGGCTGCTGGTAGCAGAGGCAGAGTGTCACCAGAAATCAGCCGTGTGGGCGGGGCAGGCAGCACCCCAGGGCTCCTAATGGGAGCGGGCCTGGGCGCTAGTCTCCTCCATCCTAAAGCACCTTCCAAATTCAATGTTTATCAACAGGCTGGCCAGAGAAGGAGGGAGGGAGAGAGGGAGGAAAGACAGGCAGGGATGGAGGAAAGAGGCCCAGCACCTCTGGGGCTCCCAGGGTGAAGAAGAAGGGGGCTGCAAAGAGTGGGGAGCACACAGTGCCCTGCTCCCACCCACTTTAACTCCTTTCCTTGGTGAGCTTCCAGCCTCTGTGACTGGTTTTGCCCTATCTCCCCCACAATGGTGGCAGCAAGCAGACCCCCTCGCCCCAACTCAGACCTCTGCAGGGCCTGCCAGCCAGTTAATAAGGGCCAGTCTCTGTTACTAATTAAAACAGCTTAAGAGACTTTGAAGACAAAACCATTAGGCCAGAGAGCTGGGGAGGCCCCAGGCTGCTCTCCCAGAGGCAACAGGACAGGACATTCCTCTTGGCTCTGGAAGGCAGCCCAGCAGGGCACTGCATCAACACTCCTCACCCTTGGGAGCCCTAGGGGCTGATGGCAGGGTGGGGCAGAAGCAGCCACAGTAGCAAGGAGGGCCCACGACAGCATTCCCAGGAGAGGCAGTGGGGTCCAAGGGGAGGCAGGAGCAGGGAAGCAGGCCTGGCAGCAGCCCCTCCAGCCCAGGGCAAAACCTACCCAGTAGCTGGCACCCCTGAGGCCACCTGCAGCTGAGGCCTCTGACCCTTGACCCTTCAGGGGCTCCCCCAGAAGCCCCACCTGCCAGCCCCTTCTCACCCAGCCCGCAGGCAGTCCTGCTCAGGACGGCTGGCAGCCAGCCAGGCAGGCCCACCCTTGCTAGGGCAGGAAGCGGAGGAGGCTGGAAAGCCCCAGAACCAACTTCAGAGGCGCCCTGCTCCCTCCAGTCCGCCAGCTAAAAGGCGTTATTATCCTCCCACAGCAGCTGCCAGGGCGCTCCTCCCGACCAGCCTTGGCCTCGCCCTCCCCAACTGGCCAGAGCAGTGCCCCTAGCCAAACAGTCCGTACCTGAAAGAGGGTCATCGTGTGGTCGTCCAGGACGGTTTTTGGAGGAGCAATGACTGCGGAAATATGGTCTTCTGGGTCAGGAAGCACCTTGCCCCCTGGCCCCTCGCCCCCATCCCCGCTACCCAGGGAAGACAGGCCTGAGGTAAGCGGGGAGGCCCAGGGCCCACAGCCTTCTGAGAGCGTACTTTTGAAGAGCCCCCTCAGCTCACAGCCCTCTGCCCACATCTCTGCTGCTGCAAAAACTCTGGTGAGGGGCTAGGGGGAGGGGCCTTGAACAGACCCACCTGCAGGGGACCCAGCCCCACCCAGTTCCCTATGCAGCCCAGTGGCCTGACCCCTCACCCCCCAGAAGCCCTCCGAGGGAGGCCAGCAGCTCTCCATTCCCCCATCTCCCCACAGCTCCCGGGGGACCTGGAGGAGAGGCCAGAAGCAGAGGGTGCTGAGGCAGGACAAAGGCCGACCTCCCTCCCTCTCTGACTCCCCAGTTCTGGACTTGTCCTCAGACACCAGTGGGCCTCATGGACCACAAGACCTGCCTCCCTCACGACACTGTTTCTATGGGAAAAGCTGCTTAAACCACAATGGGAGGGGTCGGGGGTCATGGAGGCCTGAGCGTGAGCAGGAGGTCCCAGAGGAACACTCACACAGGTGGAACGGCAGCTCGGGGTTCCCAAGGTGGCTCCTCACAAAGTCCTGCAGATCCCCCACTGGAGGAGGAAGGACAAGGTAAGCAGAAGGGCTCCATGGGACAGGCACAGGCCCCATGCTCAGACTCGCTCCAGGGCCCCACTATGGGATGGGACGAGCCGGGTCCAACCTCTGTGCACACCCCCACTGCCCTCCAGGCTGGCCTTGGGGGACTTGCCACCAGCCCCAGGCAGCTGGGCCTCCTGGGCCTCAGGCACTATGGACACTGCTCCCATCCTCAGGCTGAATCCAAGCCCAGGAGTGGAAACTCAAGCTTGGTCCTTCTGCAGTACCCCGAGATGCTCAGCCCTGCTGGACCGCAGTGCAGGCCACCACCGAGACTCCCACCCTGCTGGGAAGCATCCCTCCCCACCCACCACCCAGTCCTGAGCTCCGTCCTGATGAGGCCCCGGGTACAAGGGCATTGTCACACAGCGCCCCAGGGGCCTCGGGGGCCTGCCTGCCACCCTCGCTGTCTTGGGTTCAGGTCACTGAGGGACCCCACTCAGAATTGGTGGCATTGCTGCCTTCCTTCCTGGTGAGCTGTAAGCCCAGGCCAGAGACCCCACTGTTGGGCGTGGGGGAGCCCCGGGCCAACCCTTCCTCTGGCTGCCCCTCTGTCCTGCCGTGCCCAGAAGAGGTGGGTGCACAGCGGCACCCAGTACCACGGCACCGCCAGGCTGGCCTAGTGAGTATCTGACCCACGACACACTCTGCAAGCTCAGAGCCTGCTGCCTGCCCCACAAAAATGAGAGCACCCTGAAACGTCTGTCTCCCTAGAGCCCAAAGACCAGGTGGCTACAGTTCCATGGCCTGGAAGGAGCCAGGAGGGGCTCAGAGGGCGCCCCACCCTCCCAGACGGGGCTGCTTACCTGTCTCACTGGGCCGGAAGAAGCCCTGCAGGATGTAGCGGTCAGGGAACAGGACCCTCAGGACCACCTAGGCCAGGACAAGCCGAGTTGTCAGCAGGACAGCTAGAGCCCGGCCCAGGCAGGAGGAGGCAGCTGCACCCCTGGGCTCACGATGGCCAAGCCCCTCACCCCATACCAGCAGACACCAGGACTGGGGCAGGCAGAAATGCCAGCTGCCCCTGGCCCAGGCTGTGCCCCCCACACTCCTGGCCAGAGCTGCAGCCTCTGCTTGCTGTGCCACGGGCTGGCCACAAGGACCAATCAGGTACCCCCATGTGCATTTGTAAACAATGATGACATCTGTTTTAATTATAAAAAGGGGTTGACTGGTTGATCAATGAACTGTGGCTGCGCAGGCCTCGGGTGAAGCCAGGTGACCACAGCCAGTGGCATGTGGGCTGCGGTTGCTGAGGGTGAGACTTCTGTTCCCTGCTGGAACCACAGGAGACCCCAGCTCAGAGCCACGCGCAGACATCCGCCAACCACTCCACGTACCTTTGGGTATCGCTCCAGTTTCTCCTTCATCTGAGCCTCCCTGAAGGCCTTGGTCACTAAGGGCGCTTCTTCTAGGCGCTTCCTGCAGGGGGGTGAGGGGTGGTGAAGGTGCCAGGTCTCCCCAGCCAGAGCAGAGGCCCCACACCAGCTGGACTCTGGATTTCTTTCTTGCCCCACCCCGGCCTCCATAGGCTGCTCCCCCATAGAGGGCTATAATAGGAGACCCCTGCCTAGGCCCCTGAACCCCACAAGGTGCTGCCGAGGGCATGGGTGTCGGGGATCCAAAGTGGGAAGCAGGGAGACACCGAAGGGGCCAGGGGCACACCCACCGCTCACTCTTGAGTTGGGCCAGGCGTCTTCGCACGTCATCCACGGTCACCTCGAAGAACTCATCAGGCAGCTCTGCAGGCCAGGCCTGGAGCAGCTCTTCCAGGTCAGGATGGCACACCACAGTATCTCGGTCCACCGGCTGGGTAGGCAGAAGGCTCGGCTGATGTAGGCTCCCAGGAGGCTGGGTCACCCAGGCCCCACAGCTGGAGTGGCCGTGCAGGCCCCTGAGTTGAGCACACGCCCTCACCGGGGCCCACCTGTCAGCCCATGGCCAGGGCCAGGTCTCCAGGGTGGGGTGTAGGCTGTGGGCTGGGGGACCCCACCCCAGGCCCAGCCTGTCCAGGACCAGAGCACCCCCCAGGCCTGCCTCCTCAGCAACGCTGATGATCACCAGCAGGGCACATGGCTCAGCCAGGCGGGCTGGCACCCGTGGCCCCCTCACAAGAGTAAGGTAAATGGCAGCTTGGCAGGGCCAGCCTCCCCAGCAGCTCCTCTGCTCACTCCTGTCTCCGTGGGGGGCCCCTCACAAGAGGCCCAGGGAGCTGCCTGCTGTCACGGTCCCCCAAAGTGGCCACGTCAGGGGCTCCACCAGAGAGCAGGGGAAGCAACAGCCCCTAAATTAGAGGTTTGGCAGAAACCTGTCAACCACTGGCCCCAGAGCCAGGCTGACTCCCCTTCTCCTCCCCAGGGGAGCGGCCCAGCCCCCGCTCTGCCCACCCTGGGGACACAGGAAGGGACAGCGTCACTCCTAACTGGCAGCAACGATGGTGGAAATTACCAGGCAGGGCTCGCTCTGCTTGCGGCACCTCCAGGTGGGTAACTTCAGCAAGTGCAATGGGGGTGGGACGCCGCCCATGGAGCAGGGCCTGACGGAGGCGTCCAGCTAGGCCAGCAGGACCCGCACCAGGTCCTGTCCTCCCTCACATAAAACAGCTGTGAGCTGTCAGGGGCGAAGGCACCCTCTGCCCTCTGCCCCTGCCTGCCCCTCACCTCCCGACTCTGGCTTCAGCATAGGAATTCCACCTCCTGCTTCTGGACACCCGGGGACGGGCTTGGCAGGCTCTTGGAACACACTTCCCCAAATGTCCCTTCCTGCAGCCTTCTACACAGCCCAGCCTGGCCACAGCCCCACCTGCTCTAAATGTTAGCCTCACCGCCCTGGGGATGGCCAGGCCTAGGCCGCTCGAGGGCCAGGGCTGCCCAGTGTTTGAGGACTCACCAGTCCAGTGCACCCGCCAGGTGCCTCCAGGGCTGCCCACCCCCAGCCACACCCAAGGCCTCGACTGTCCACACCAGCAGCTCCCTACAGTCCACTGAGCGCACGGCTGCATCACACATCACAACACAGCTCGCCCTCTGTGAAGGAAGGTGTGCTCTCACCAGGAAGCCCCTCTGATCTCGGGGCGCTGTGGAAGTGGCCAGGAAGGGCTGGCTGAGGCCCAGGCAGCAGAGCCCGTAGGTGGCTGACTGAGGCCCCTGGGGGCTGCCCCTTCAAAGCCACAACCATCCTGCAGCCGCCACGGGCAGTCTACACCAGAGCTTTTTATAACCCGATGCCAGGCGCCAGGCTGCCCCCCACAGCCACGGCGCCTGCATTCCAGAAGGGCCAAGAGCTCGCCCGGGTTCCTGAGGGAGGGCAAGGGCAGAACGTGGACATGCCTGAGCTGGGAACCGCCATGTCCATGAGTTCTAGGTCCCCAGGAGCTCAAGCACCAAGCCCCCAGGCTAACGAGCAAGCTCTGGGACCAGCCTGTCCCGCTCCCTCCGAGGACCCAGTCCTGGGCATGGGAATCACCCTGAGAACTCAGCAATCAGGTGATGCGCAGTCTGTGGCACTGAGCTGAGCCTGACCATCCAGATGGGCCCTGACCTCAGGACACGATTGGTGAAGCCAGGCCCAGGGAGCATGTGGCCACTTTGGCCTCCCCGTCCTCCCTGGCACTGCCAGGACACAGCCTGGGGGTGACCAGGAGGACTGCAGGCTGCTGGCAGTGCCAACAACTCCAAGGCCACAGCCCTCTCCCTGGGCCACTTGCAGAATGGGGAACACAGGTGATACCAACCATGTCTTCACACTGCTCAGGGGCCACTAACTTTCAGTCAGAAAATAAAACTGACAAAATCCCTCTCTGGTTTTGGATCTACCGTCAATTTCCACCCCTCCCCTCGTCTCCCCTCTGCTCCAAAAGCCTGTCTGTTAAAGAGAAGCAAAGAGCTGGGGTCCCACACAGGAACCAGAGTGCCAGGTAAGAGCTGCCTCAGGACACACTCTCCACACTGCCCTGCGCCCCTGGGGCCTCCCTTCCTCTGGGCACAGAAGCCAGAATTCCCAGCAGCCTCTGCTGCCCAACAGACCCCAGGGGCCAGACCACTCGAGTCCCAGAGCTGCTGCCATGTCCTGGCCCCAGGTGGGCTCTGTCCCACGAGAAGAGACTGAGGTCCGTGGCTGGGCTGGTAGGAAGTATCACGCTGCCACCAAATGACTGAGGGAGAAGCCAGGGCTTCAAACGCCTCGACTTAGCCTTCCCCAGGAGAAAGCATTTCCACCGCAGAGAAGAGGGCTGAGGAGGAGAAAAAGGCACACGTGGGTGCGGGGCCTCACAGGGCACACTGCGCTAGGGAAGGCCAGAGCCCGCGGCCTCTCGGCCAAGCCCTGGCCCTGCTGGCAGTGCCAACAGCCCTGACGCTCTACCGGCAACCTGTCCTTCACCCGCCATTCCCTGGTCGTCAGCAGGTATTACACAGGCCCCATCCTAGGTGGATTTATGGAGATATTTTTGGATGGAGAGTAGAGATCTAGGATGAGATGCTGTTAGGAAAAAGAGCACACACAGCGGCAACCGCGAAGGAACGGCGCGGTGCCTCAGCCCTCACTCCGGGGAAGGAGTTCCCGTGAGTTGGCTGAGGGCCACAGCCCTGGGGCGGGGAGGGGGCCCCAAGATGAACCTCCTGGCTGGTGCCCGAGGATGCTGGCAGGGTCGCAGGCTCTGGGCTAAGAAGACAGAGCTCAGCTCGGGACCTTCTCGGCGCTTCTCACAACTGGCCTTCACGGCCTAAACCTCCAAATTGGCTCCTGAGGCTTCCAGGGAGCCACGCAGAGGACAGCACTTCCACCGAGAACGTGACGTCACCAGGCCTGGGTCATCCTTGCAAAGGCACTGGTTTTCCACCTCATCGACTCAAGGCCTGGCTCCTAAACACTGTCAGTCTACAAAGACACGGTCCCAGGCCCCCATCCCTTTAGCCCAGAGAGAGCCAGAGGAGCTGGTCCCTCCCCCGGTGCCCTGGACACTGTGGCATTGGCGAGAGGATGGGCAGAATAACAGGGACGCAGCCAGAGCCCAAGTGGCCAAAGGCCCAGTGTAAGGTCTCAGCCCATAGGGCGGGGGATCTATTATGACTGCGCCTGACGAAACTGAGGCACAGACGCAATCCTGAGGAGAGGTGCTAGTGTCTGCGGGCTCCAAGCGGGCAGCCATGAGAGACCCTTCTGATGAAATGCCCAGGCCAGGGGCTCTTGTTTCCTGCAAACGCAGGACCCTGGCACAGACTCCCAGGTCCTAGCCTACACCAAGCGTCTTACAGCCAAGAGAACATCCAGAAAAACAGCAAGGAGGGGAGGCAGTCTGTGAATGGGACGACACTTGCCAGGGGCCTGGGAGGTGCGTAGGAGGGACAAGACCCTCTGAGAGGCAGAGGGACAGGAGCACTCTCTGCAGGCCCTGGATGACAGCCCAAAGCTGGACAGATACTGGACTGGCACCCAGGCCATTTAGAGGTGGAGACTTGATGACCAACCACCACTGCTGCCCTCAGAAACAGCCCCTGCCACACTGGGACCAGCCCTGTGAGCAAGACCCGAGGGAAGGAAGGCATAAAGGCACTGCCCACCCTCGGCCCCATGCCAGGCTCAGCGCGGCCAGCAGGCACAGCCAGGGGCCGGGCAGGGAGGGGACAGGGGGCCAGGTGCTGGTCTGAGACGTGGACCCAGTGCGTCCCCGGACAGTCAGGTGGACATGCTCCAGCAGCCGCCGCATGAGTGGCTGAGGATCCATTTGGGCACACAGGGGTCCCCTCATGTCAGAAGTGGCCTCGCTGCCCACTGAGGTTTCCTTTTCTTGACAGTAATTTTCCAGGACGTGATGACACATGGAGAAAAAAACGTAAAAACTATTTGGAGGTGACCTCAACCCCAGATTTTCCAGCTTCCCTGTGAGGATTCTTGTTTTCCTCCCTCCCTCCTCCCCTCTCTCCCACCTCACTCTCAGCCCAGACTGTCCTCTGACAATGGTTTTGGGTAAGAGAGAATGTGAAGCGTTTCCCCTTGAGGCTTGGAGCTTCAATGAATCAGTGCTCAAGGGACAGAGGCCAAACCTCCTGAGCTACTCACAGAGCCAGCCGCCCTGTGGAGGGAGGGCCAGACCACATGGACACCATCAAAGGCCTCCAGGCAGGCAGGGACAGCTGTGCCAGAGCTCAAGGCCAGGCCTGATCCCAGGCAAGGCTGCACACGGGAACTCCTCTGAACACCCAAGGCCCTGGTCACGAAGCTCGCAGAGATGTGGTGGCGCAAGGCAGCCTCAGCAGATCCCCTCACCCACCAGCCAGCGCCAGCCAGAGACAGTGCTTTACCCAGGCCTGGGGCCCAACATCCACTCCTGGCTCTGCCCACCCTTCTGAGCAGAAGAAATGAGAGAAGTTCTTTAAAAAGAAAAGATCAGGGTAGCTAAATGCTGGGCCACAGCAGCAACAATGGCACATTTTAAAACTGAGTGGCTCCCACGCATCCGTGGTGTGGCCAGGCATGTATCGCTGTGGATAAGGCCCATGAACCCCCAAAGTACTGAAATAAATAACTGTAGGGTGTGGTTCAGGGTGTCCTCATCAAGAGGCCTGGCACCTGCCCCTGGGGAGCCCAGGGACTGCACAGCCTGAGGTCAGCAAGCCTCAGAGGAGTGGACACCCACAGAGACCAAAGGGCCAGGAAGAATCTGGCAGAGAGCCCTGGAGGCCGCCTGGCCCCACCTGGGCAGCTCTGGGGTTGCAGGGGTGCTCTGGTGGCCAGGGCGCCCTGCACACCCATTCTCCACTCTGGCTCACAGGTTGGGCATCTGTCTCTCCCCTCAGTCTAGTCATGGCTGAGACACAGCAGGACAGAGACGGCTGGAGGGCACCTGCCCATTGCTAGGCTTCAAAAACTGCCACAAGACTCGGCCAGCACCTTCAAAGCCACTGACCATCTGCCAACAAACCTCAATGGACATTCCAATCAAGGCCATGGCTGCGTCTCTTGGGACAGCTGGGCCCCTGGGGTGTCGCCAGAGCCCAGAGGACATCCACAAACACTGACTGAGCACAGCAGGGACAGGCTCGCACCACGCTCTGCGCACACACGTGGGGGACATCACGAGCAGGTGCCTTGGGCCAAGGGAACAAGGGTGGCAGGGGAGCAATGGGCACCACACCCAGTCCACTCCAGCCCCCAGACCCTGGCCAGGCTTGTAAACCAGGGAGCAGGGACAGCCAGAGGCAAGGCTGACACCTGCTGTGAGACGGGGGTGCAAGGCACCGAGGAAGTCCCCAACTCCCCGTCTCTGGGGGGGCAAGCCCACCTCCTTGAAGGTGTGGGGCAGGCAGGGGAGACGCTGTCAACTGCCCACCCTGCCTAGTGGATCAGGGCCTTTGATCAGACTCCCATGCCAGCCGCGTGGGGGGCGCCTGCTGGGACTGCGGCCCAGCCATGCACAGAGATGCGGGGCGGCCTCCAAGGCCGGCAGAAGGACTTCAAAGGACAGGCCATCGGCTGCCGAGCAGCCCCAGCCTCTCCCTGTACCCGGTTCTGATGGCCAGTAAAACTACCTTCTAATAATTAATGTTCTGACATCAAAGGCAGGAGCAGCTGGGGTCTGTAAACCATCCTGGGCCTCAGCAGAGGACCTGCCTATATTTTATCCTGTCTCTTCTGACTCTTTACTTAAATCTAAAAACCACACGCAGGCAAAACACTACTGGGAGACTTGGAAGCTCTTTTAGATACTGGAGTGTGCCTTTGAAGTTCCCCCAAAGTTCTGTTTTGTTCCCTTCTCCCCTCCCCCAGGACTGAAAAGGGACACAAAACAGACACCATGTGGCTGGCGGCCCTCTGGGTGTGCGGCTGTTAGTGACAGGAGGCGTGAGGCGGGCGGGCGGGTGTGGGACGCTCCACAATCAACCAGCTGCTGGGACTCCCACATCAAAGGCACGCACTGCTGGCAGCCAGGCAGACCCTCCCCAAGACCCCTCCTGCCTGGGGCCCCAGGGTCAGCATGCAGGGCTGCACTGGGATCCTGTGCCTGGACAGCAACCACCCACCGGGCAAGCACAAGCCCAGGCCACCCTCCACACGCCCACGGGGCCATCAGCAGGTTCCCAAGAGACACAGAGAACCAGGGCCTGCCCAAGTTGGGGGAGCCAGGGGCCCAGCAGCCCCACTCCACGCACCACTGTGGCTTTAGGGTGGGAGAAGGAGACAGTCAGCCCCAGCCCCAGGGTCTGGCCCTCAAACCCAGGGGCCCCTAGGAAGAGCAGGCCCAGGGGGAGTCAGGCACCCACAACAGCTCACCCCAACCACATGGGTCTGCTTTCCGCTGCTGATTCTGGGCCCAGGTGACAAAGGCCATGAGACTGGGGCCTGCACACTGGTTTCCAACGTGGCCCAAACATCAGCATGGAAGCCAGTGGGGTCCCCAAAGGCTGGGGTACCACTGCCACCACCTCCCCAGGATGGACGTTCACGGGACTCGGGACTGCCTTGGTCCCCCTCCCCTGTCCACTCAGCAAGGACACATCAAGGGTGGTTCAGGGAGCAAGAGCGAATCCCAGCCACCGACCCTCTGAAGGGACCCAGGCTCTGTTCCACAGCTGACCTGCCCCCACCGCCCCAGCACAGGTGCCCTTGACTCTCCACCCTCCCCAGGTGTATGACATGGCGACAAGTGGGGGGGCTCCAGAAGAGACAGGATGCAGGTGGGTGGGTTTCAGCAGCACAACCTCTGTAGTCTTTCACTTATGAACATGGATGCAAAACTCTGAACTAAGATATTAGTTAACCACCACTAAAGTGTAGCTAAAAAGGAAACACATCACTGAAACTGGATTGATCCCTGGAATGCAAGGATGGCTTGACAAGGGGAATCTATCCAAAACCACACGTGAATAATCTGAAGGAGAAAAAAGGCATAAAATTATCTCACAGAAGAAACAGTTTATAAAGCTCCACACCCACTTATGATAAAAAAAAGTTCTCAGAAATTAGGAATAGAAACTCTCGGGGCCGGCCCCGTGGCTTAGCGGTTAAGTATGTGCGCTCTGCTACTGGTGGCCCGGGTTCAGATCCCGGGCACACACCGATGCACCGCTTGTCCGGCCATGCTGAGGTGGCATCCCACATACAGCAACAGAAGGATGTACAACTATGACATACAACTATCTACCGGGGCTTTGGGGAGAAAAAGAGAAAAAAAAAAAAAAAAAGGAGGAGGATTGGCAACAGATGTTAGCTCAGGGGCAGTCTTCCTCAGCAAAAAGAGGAGGATTGGCATGGATGTTAGCTCAGGACTGATCTTCCTCACAAAAAAAAAAAAGAAGAAACTCTCTTAATTTCATAAAGGCTTTTCACAGCACACATCATCCTTCACAGATAAACTACAGATTATTCCCTTTAAGGTCAAAGTCAGGACAAGGATGCTCACTAAAACTGCTAGTATTCAACAAATACTGGAGACACAATCACTACGATACAAGAAGAAAACTGAGAGAAGTAAAGACACAAAGGGAAAAAAAAAACTGACACTCTTTGTAGAGACCTCAACTGAAACTAAGAAACTACTGGAACTAATAAAGCAGATTAGCATGGCTGCTGGGTACAAAAACCAACAGCATTCCACGTCCTGGGTCAAGACTTGTCATCCTCATTCAAGCTCCCCCACCACCATGGGATGGTTGTAAGAAACTTTTCAGGTCACTTCTCTTAAGAGTCCTGCAATGGCTCTCCATCATCTGGAAAGGTGATTTGTGAAAAGGAATTTTTCTCAGCAGTGGAACCCTGTTTGTCACAGAAAAATCTCGAGTGAATCTTGAGTACAGGCGCACGACGCAGGTGGGATGGAGCCGGTGGGAAAGGGAGAGAAGGTGGAGAACCTGGAGCCCCAGGCATCTCAGGGTGACACCCACCCACAGCTGCGCAGCTTCAGGGGACTCTACACATGACAACATGCAGCCCAGGCTGGAAACCCAGGCTGGTCCCAGTGTCAGGTCTCTTTAATGGTGTTCCTAACACTTCAAGAGACATGCTGGCTGGAGGGAAAGACCTTCTCTGGGTGGACGACCCGGAGCCTTCTCAGGAACCACGACTAGGAAATAGGGGAGCCCGGGGCAGTCCAGGAGCCCAAGATCCCTGGGGAATCGGTCACATGCCTGTACTGCTAATGGGGAGTTGGGTCTGTGAGTGCTGCCAAGGGAGCAGTCACATAGAGGGATCCACCATTGCAGCACCTGGGCCGACACCATCCGTGCTGCAGCTTCCCAAAGACACCAGCGGGACCTCTGTTGTGTGACCCATGAAATCCTGACTGGACACAGGCCCAGTGGCCCTCTGATTCGAAAGTTCCACACCAGGACCCAGCATGAGAACCGACCTGATGGGCAGCCCACGCATGTCCTCCCTCAGGAGCTCCGACGTGGCTGCAGCTGGCCAGGGTGGGCCCAGGCGAACCCAGCCTCACCCACAAGGGACCAGAGATGGCCTCAGGGGCTGGCACCATCAGACGGTGCGGGAGGTAGACGCTGGTGTGATGCCGAGAGCCTGCCCAACACATGCCTGGCTCCTGCAGAGGCACCGCCCACCTGGGGGTCCCCTCGCTTTGGGGGCCACACCCCAACCTGTCACTGCCTGCGCAGCCTGATCCAAAATGTGGGGCCCCTTCCACCCCTCGGGTTGGTGTATGGTCAGAGGAGTGGACGGGAATGGGCATAACTGTGGGGGCAGGGTGTGAGATTCAGGGACAAGCAGACCGACATGACAGCTCAAGTCAGAGGCACTCAACGATGGACCTGGCCATCAAGAAAACACACTGTTTGCAAAACTTGCCCAGTGTGGCACTGACGGTGGTTGTGTTTATGCAGTCAATTATACCTCAATAAAGCTAATCACAGAAGAGAAGACAACATACTGGAGGTGTGTCAAGGCCTAGACAAGAGCCCGTTCACTCAGCCATTTCACTCACTCAGTGAAAGCTGCACTCCCTCCTCCCAGCCATGTTAAAGCGGCCGGCGGGAATTTCCACGCCAAATTAGTCCCTCCCAGAGATACCAAGCGCCCCACCCACTCAGCTTGTGAAGAGTGAGCAAACTCACCACCTCCCTCCTGCTTGGTCTAGGGCAATGTTAAAATCACTCTGCACGCCCTGCACACCTGCTGGCTAGCGGGGAAGACAGTCAATAAGCTGTGGGGGTCGCTCGGCTCAGGAATCAATGTGCCAAAGCCACATGCGCGTCAAAAGCCGGTCAAAACCACCGGCCCAGGCAAGAAGGGTGGAGGGCAATGACTCCAACGCAGCGCCTGGGACACAACTGCTCCAAGCCCCCACACCAACACAGAGGGTCACCAGGAAGGCAGGCTGTCTTGGCTGTGACCATGATCACGGGGGCACATGAGTTTGTCAAAGCCCATCAAACTGTACATCTAAAATAGTGCCTCAACGAAGTGGATTTCAGAAAAAACAAAGCCAAAAAATCACTTCCCTAAGAAAACAAAAATGTGCCCAGAGACCCTGCCACACTCCCAGGCTGACCAGCCAAGAGGTCAGGTGCAATCAGGAGAAAAGACCCCCCAGCAAGCAGCTCGCCCCTTACCGGCTCTGGCTCCGGCTCCAGCTGGGGATCCTGGCCAGGCCTCGACTTCTTTGGCTTGGAGGGGCCTCCGGGGCTAGAGTAAGACTTTGGCAATTTGGCTGAAGATGACATCAGAGACCTTGAAGACCCGGAGGGGCCCCCCAGGCGCTGTCCCCCCCCTGAGAAAGGAACGAAGGGGCTAGGTGCAGGCTCCTTTGAGATCTGCTTTGCCTGAGCATCCACCGGCTTTGGGCCCAGGCCATCCACGTGGCCAGACCCCGAGGCACCCGCCTCATCCTGATGGCTCCCGTCGCCCCAGCTGAGCCCTACTGAGCTCAACGGAAGCAGAGGGCTGCCAGCTGCCTGATCAGCTGATGTGGAAAGAATTGGGCTTCCTGGGCTTTCGCTCCTGGAGACCCCATGCTCCTGCTTGCCGGCAGAGTCTCGTTGCTTCATGGCAAACCTGAGGGGAAGGCCCAGAAAGCAGATGAAACTCCATACACAGAGCCTGTCCCTGCTCCTAGGTCTCACAGCCCCAGCGTCTTAACCTTTTCAGCACTCCATGGCCCCCTTCCCGTCCCCCCTTTACCCAACAGTGCCAAGCCCGCCAGGCCCACAGGCAGGAGAAGCTGCCGGGCAGCAGCCTCAGATTGAGGGGCAAGGACCGCAGGGGCACGTTTTCTCTTCTACTTTTCCATGTTTCTTGTTTCCTTTCCTTTGAGACCCCATTTCTTCCACTAAACAAGACTCAGAGGCCCCCCCACCTGATGATGGCGCTGCCCCCGGTGAGGCCCAGCGACTGCAGCGTCGTGCCCTGCAAGGCAGCTTTGCCGGTCACCTGTGAGGAGGGAACAGGACAGGAGACAAAGCTCCCCCACCTGACCTGGGCGCAGGTACCACGGGCCCTGCCCACCTGCCAAGCCCAGCTCACGCCACCGCCCCCAGCCTGGGCACTAACATCACTGGCACCACAGGGGCCCCCCAGCCAGCCCCAACTCAGTGCTGGCTCCCGAGAGGCCTGGGTCCAGCCTCCCACACCCCACCTGACCTGCACCTGAACATCTGCTCACTGGTCTACATCTGTCCCCCCAACCCGTCCCATCCGAAGCCTGGGCGGGTAGGACTCAAGCCCGGGTTAGCCACATCTGACCAGCTGACCAGTCGTCTGAGGGCTGGCCTGATCATGATGGCCCTGGTCCAGGCCCAGGTGCCTGAGGTCCAGTGGTCCATCTCCTCCAGGGAAGGATGCGTCCCCCCAGGTCCCGCCCCTCACAGCCCTGGGTCAGAGAATCTCAAACTGGGATAAATAGGTGGGTGTGTCCCGTCCACACCAGGGCCCTCCCAGGGCCCCTCAGGGACAGTAGCCACCCCAGGCCAGGAAAAGGAGCCCTGCCAGGGTTGAAACAAAAAGCCCCTGTGAGCCAGGGGACCAAGTGCCAGGAGGGTCCCCCGTCAAGGGCGGGCGGACGGGTAGGGACAGGCAGGGCCTCAGTGCCAGGCTAAGCCTGCAACACGCTGCACTTGGTTTTGGAAAAGATCAAAACACAGAGCAAAGCAAATATTTATTAAAATGAAACCACTTTTGTCACTCTTGGGCTTTGAGAGAACCTGAGAAAACAAACAGGGCGTTGAGGGAGGCTCCGGGAGCAGCCCGGGCGGCCCGTGGTCAGCTCCTGTGGAGCTGGCGCTCTGCTCTCCTTCCATGAAACACATCACGCTTTCAGAGCTGTGTCCCCAGCCACTGCTTTGAAGGCGGGTCTGAGGGAGAGTGAATTTTCCAGATTGGAAAGAGGGGCTCGGCCCGTGTGGCGACTTGGGAGCGGGCAGTGGGAAGTGGGCCAGGCGGGTGGGGCCCGGCAGCTCACCTACCTCATCCCTCATGTACACGCAGACTGGGCTCGCCTCACACGGCTGCTCCAGACACTCCCTGCAAGGAGAGGAAAGAAAACACCACAGGCCGGCCGCTGGCGTGAGGGGACACCTGGTGCCCTTGGGAAGGCACCATGGAGGCCCCACCCAGGACAGCATCCCAGACCCACCCTGGCAGCCCCACAGCCACTAGAGGAGGCAGCCAACCGCTGGGCAGGAGCTGCCGCCCGACAGGCCTGGGCCATCAGCACCTGGTCTGGGGGTGTCTCCCACCTGCCTCCAGCCTCGAGGCTCTGAGTGCGGGGGGACATGGAGCAGGGGACGAGCCACAGGACGTTGTCAACTGTGCCCTGGGTCAGCGATGAGAAAGAGTATCCAGGGGGGCTGTGATTTGGTCCCAGGGGTCCTGTGATCTGGGCTTTTATCTGAAGCTGGCCTCCTAGAGGGTCGCTGACCCCTGAGGCATCAGGAGCAGCTCAGGGCAAGAATCCATTAAGTGGACTCGAGGAGAGAGGCCCAGGCCCCTGAGGCTATGAGCACTCCATGCCATCCCCTCTGCCCAGACCCTGCAGGGCAACGCTGGGACCAACAGGGCACTGGTATTCCTGAAGGGCCGGAGCAAGCTGCACGTTGGGGTCGTGGCCTGCTGCCTGCCCCAGGAGTGAGCTGGGCCCTGAGACGCTGTGTGACCTCCAGTCGTGAGGCAGGAGGATGATGGTGACGCCTCCTCCTGAAATGCACCCAGATGCCCACGTGGTCGAGTAGGACAGGGCCAGGCTCACAGAGGGCTCTTGACGGCCACTGAAATTATTGTCACCAAAACACAAAAGTAGGGAAACTGAAGGCCATGGCATGGCACGGGATACTGGTACGCCTGGGCAGTCAGTACTTCGGGCCACTCCATCACACATAGGCTGGGCGTGGGGACAGTGTGGGGGCAAACGGGCAGGAAACACCACGGATGCTCCACACAGACTTCCCTCCATCATCTGGGAAACAGCAAACGCACCCCTCAACATGGTCACCCGGTCACCACACACTGGGCCTGGCCACCAACGTCCTCTCCCCTTGTAAACTGGACCCTGAGATGGGAGAGAGCAGCCCCCAGGAGGCACAGCTGGATGGGCGTGAAGGACGGTGGGTGTGCAGGCGCACAACCAGAGGCACAGGCACATATACGCTCGCCCATGCACACGCCTGTGCAACCACCCAACATAACTCCCACTACCCGGCCCTGCACTGACCATCGAAGTTACAGAATGCAAGGTGGCTGAGTCCTGGCTTTGGAGTGTTTAACTGCTGATGGCAGGCCCAAGACAGCCAAAGGGAAGCTCATTTCTGCACTTCCTGACACATAATCGTAACACTAGCCCCCCAAATAAAAGCCCATCCCAGACAACACCTGGCGCACTGCAGGCCAGTCCCTCCCTTCCAGGCAGGGTGAATTGAGGGGCTGGTCCACCAAGCAGGAGGCCTGGAGGGCCCTTGGTCAGCACAGTTCCACCTGCCAGGCCTCATGGCTCAGACACGCAGACATGGTTGGGACAGGAAGATACAGGAACTGAGGTGGTGGCCAGAGGCAGCAGGGCCTCCGACTACACACTAAGAATGCACGGCTGCCTGGGCCCATCCCCAAGACCCGTGACCCATCCTCTGGGTTCAGCATGTTTTTGCTTTTGCATGTTCCCCAGGATTAAGACCCACAATCTAGAGCCAGCTGTGGGGCCCCTGGAGGAAGTGCAGCCCTGCCCCTGCCCAGGCCCTGGCACCACTGGCCTCATTACCTCTCAGGGTCCCCGCAGGAACGTAGGAGGCCCGCCGGCTGACAGCCCCCACGGAGCTCATCCAGAGCTCTATGAACCTGCACCTATGGTGAAGCTGCTCCCCAGAGAAGGCTTCTGGCCTCAACCAGAGCCACGTGGGGGCCGGCATGGAGGGTGCGACCTCTCACACGGTGGGGCCAGGGGTGCCCCAGTCCACTGAGACCCGGCGACCCTATGCCTCACAAAGACACACAAGACCTCGAAAGTGAAAGAGCAAGAGTTCCAGCCAGGCCCACGTGCTCTTCTTACTGAAGCCAAGACAAAGGAGAAGCGAAGGAACCTCAGGCAAGGAAGACACTCCAGCAAACAGGACCCCGGGGCCAGAGAGGAAGAGTCAGAGTGACATGGGGGTCCTGCTTCCCTCAACTGTGACAGACAGCAACTGCCTAGAGAGAAAGCTGGCCGGTTACGCAGCCAGCCATGCTGACGCCCACCAAGCAGCCAGCACAGTGCTCTCTGCACTCGCAGGGGCTCCAGCCAGGCATCCTCTCTCACAATACTTCCCCAGGGCACCTGATGCCAGCGCAGGGACGGCAAAGGACAAACAGGGACAAAGCAAGCAGCACCCCAGGAAGGCCTGCTAGCCTCCATGCCCTCGGAGGCCTCTGGAGGTCTCTGGACATCAAACGGGAGCCCGGCTTTGATGTGCATCTCCTCCAGAGGAATCAGATTCCCTCGTGTGGGGATCTGAGGGAGAGGCCTGTAAACACAGCGAGGGGAGGGGCAGCCGCAATGCAATCGCTTCCAGATCTTCCAAGCCAATTAACAGAGTTCTCCTTCCGAGGATGGCGGACCGGGGGACATTCCAGCGCATTGAGGAGCCGGCCCCTCACGCACTCTCAGCAAGAGTCCACCACTCCCTGCAACAGACCTCACTAAAGTTCCAAATGTCTCTAAGGGAGCCGAGCCAGGGGCCTCCTGAGGACCCCTGTGCCCCTGGACCTACTCCCACACCCCAGACCCAGGCAGAGCCACTGGACGCCAGGCAAGGCCGGGAGTCGGGTGGAGCTCCCTGGGTACCCACCTGCCCGCCCTCGCCAGATGCCCCCTCAGCCCAGCGGGACAGTGCTTGGGGAGGACCACCGGGGTCTTGCTTTAAGGCCAGCACCCCAGATGAGCCGGAGACCCACGGGGACGCCAGGCAGGGCAGAGGTCCTGCTGCTGCTGGATTTACAGACATTCTTCGCCAGCCACAAAGCACATCGTCCCCACGGCGTGGGCTGTCCACCCACCTGGGCCAGCTCCCACGAGGCACTGCGCTGGGGGCAAGCCAGGTATCTAAAGCCCTTTCTAATTAGGTCATCTGGGCCTGACCAAGACGGGGCTGGTACAAACACAGGTGCTGTCAACACAGGCCTGCCACTGCATTTCCCCATGCCAGAACAACAAAAACCAACCTAAACTGACAGAGCTGTGACTTCAGGGTCAGAGGTGTTTCTGCTGCCACAGGGAGGCCCACCTCAGGCGAGGACCCCTCCTGAGGGGCCAGGTGACTCACACCCCACCACCCAGCCCAGCCTACTCCCTCAAGCGGAGTCCTGCTCCCACATCCACGTCTGCCCCCTTCCCAGTGGACCCCGCCTGGGGATCCCTGGGGGAGCAATCTCAGCAGCTTCCTCAGCGAGGGTGCGTGGGGTAAACATGTGAGCTTTTGTGTCTAAGAATGGCCTTGTTCCATCCTCCCCAATCAATGACACTTAGGGAAAATGAGAAAATTCTAGAATAAATGATTTTCCTACAGCATTTCAAAGACACTGCTCGGCCGCGTTCCCAGTGGTGGTGCCAGCTGCCCAAGGCCTTTACGCGGGCCTATGGTCAAGGGCAGAACTGTCTCCTCATCCCCAGCTCCTGGTGATGCCACCAGGTGAGGCCCCCACCAGGCCAGGCACCAGGAGGCTCGTCCATCTGGAAACACACACCCTTCACTTCTGGGACCGTTTTCCACTGCAGTTTCACCCATGTCCTCCCACTGCTCTGTTCTCTTTCAAGAGACGCATCAGCAGGAGCCAGCTGCCTGGGCCGCCCGGATTCACCTCTTTGTTCCGTCCTCGCACTTGCCCGCCTGGCTCTGCAGCTCCTCCTCCTGCTGAGGAGATGTGGCTTCTCCCCACGCCTCAGCGAGAGCCAGGACGGTAGGGACCCTGTGCCCCCGGTTCCAAGTGTCAGCTCCCAGGCCTCGAGTGGCCCCACACTCTCTCAGGCATCTGCCACCACCACAAGAACATGCCCAGGCAGGCCGCAGACCAGCCAAATCTGCTGATCCTCAGGCATGTAAGCAGGACGGCAGATCCACAGGGCAGCCGCCCCCAGAGGCATGAGCCTGTCATGTGTGCCCGGGGTCATGGCCGTTTGATTCACAGCTGTGGACGCATGATGCCCCTTCCACTGCGGCTTCCCTAGCAGATTCCAAAGGCTCCTCTTCATCTCTGAACGCTCTTCTCATCACATCCAGCTCTCATTCCAACAGCCTCTCAGTCCTCTGAGAACAGGAACAAACACTGCCTCTCCCACCCCCGACGGTACCGTCTCTTCCTATTGGTCTGCACCGGCCTCTCCCGTCAGAAACTTGCTCCAATGTCTGGGTATACTTGGCTGTCTGCTCACACTTAGAGCAGGGGCTCTGGTGCACTGCAGCTAGCTCTCAGTACCCAGATGGTAATCTGGGGAGCGAGTCGTGCCCCCCACATCAGGAGCTGCCAGAGTTCTGGGAGCCACACTGGCAGCTCACACTCACCTAACCTCCCCATTCTTGGGACAGCGCTCATAGCCTTGACCACGCAGGCACCCCCAGTCCAGAGAGCCCCAAGGCTCACTCTCCCTAGAAAACCACCTCCAGTACCAGCAGCTCAGGGCAGGAGGGAATCCAGGACACTACGGCTTCTTATATCTCATATAGCACCTGTCCCCTCTCCCCACTCCTCCATCACCTTCCCACCCTCATCCTGGTGCTGCCTTGCCTCGGCTTCCGCTCACTCCATCCTCCAGGCTGCATCTTTGTGAAGTCCTTTACTGTCATTTTAGTTGCCTTTTGGGAGGGAGAAGAATTGCACACTGTGTGCCACATGTTCCTCCTGCTCCTTGTTGGTGGCCCAGAGCCTTTGCACTTGCTATCCCCGTCCCAGATCCTGGTGCAGCTGGCTCTACCAAGACTTACCCCACTACCCAGAAAATGTTGCCCCACCACCTCTCAAGGCGTTTTCCCTTCTTTGTAAAAATCTTATAGCTCTGTATACCTGGCTGTTAGCTCCGCCCCCCACTGAGAACACCAGCTCTGAGAGACCAGAACCAGGCTCCCTGAAGCAGCACCAGCTGGCTAGCAGTGAATAAACAAAAGAACAAAGGAAAAACACACAGACGCCCCATCGTCTCAGCAGCGCAGGGTGGCAGCTAAAAATGCAGGAGCCGGTGTCCCAGGCTCGGGGCTTTGAGGAGCTCCCCTCCGCCTCTGGGTCTCCATTCTTTCTTCTGAAAATAAGAGTAACAGCAGCCCGACCTCATGCAGCTGATAGGAGGACCGGGTCAGACAACAAGTGCCGAGAGCAGCACAGTGAGGCGGGGACCCAGGTGCCTATTTCAGGGGCGCTACTGAAGGCCACCTAAGTGCGGGGGGCGGGGGGTCATAAAGTTCTCTCAGAGGAATGTTGAGGTAGGAAGCAGAGGCTGGCTGGACGGGAGGCAGCCCTGGCTGCCCAGGCTCATAGGAGCAGGGAGGGACCACCTCGTCTTGGCACAGCAGCCCCTGCAGCCGTGCTGTAGAAAGGACCGGGAATGTGGAGACGCCAGCACATCAGAAACGGGTGAGGAGCTCCATCAGGGCAGCCTGGGTGGGGAGCAGGAGTCTGGCTGCTGGGACAGCAGGGGCAGTGGGCGCCCGGTCAGATCAGAGCCGGCCCTGCCCAGAGTCCCTCTCTTCTGCACAGACAAACCACGGGGTGAGGCCTTGTTCTCAGTATTTGAGATAGATCAACTCATCTCATCCTCACGTCTCCCTTGGGAGGCCCAGACAGGGCAAGCAACATGCCCACGGCCACAAAGAGACCACTACATCCTCCCACAATCCCTTCCATTCTGCTGGTCGAGACCTTTAAAAGTAGACAAAGAGGGGGCCGGCCCAGTGGCACAGTGGTTAAGTTCACAGGCTCTGCTTTGGCGGCCCAGGGTTTGCGAGTTGAGATCCCAGGCGCAGACCTACGCCCTGCTCATCAAGCCATGCTGTGGTGGCGTCCCATATGCAAAATGGAGGAGGATGGGCACAGATGTTAGCTCAGGGCCAATCTTCCTCACCAAAAAAAAAAAAAAAAAAAAAATTGGACAAAGAATTCCACCCAACGAGACCAAAACTTAAAGAGCCACCATTTTGACACATTCAGGAGTAAAGTTTAAACCATTAATCACCAAACAGAAACTGATAATCAGTTATCATTAAGAAGATTTTCTTTTTGAACACAACCCATTTTCACGATAAGGCAGTTTTACATCTAAAGCATTTGTCAGCTGAAGAGCCCAGCACTCAACTTCTCTCCTCACTACTCACCAAGCCCTCGGGGGCCTCTCAGGTCCCCACAAAGATGGAAGTGCTGGCTCTTCCGTGAGGGTACGGCCTGGCCGACACACCAGGAAACGCAGTCAAAAAGACAATCAGTAGCTGCTGGTACAGCTGATGAACGGGCAGCCCCCTCATCTCAAGCCAGTCCTCTTACCAGGCCCCCAGAACCCCAGCTCTGCCGTGCAGAGCTGAAGCAGAGTTCAAGGTTGTGGCTCTGGACCAGCCCTGCTGAGCATGGCAGCACTGGCACTGCAGATGAGAGCAGAGCCCAGAACCTGCTCACTGACGCTCACCTGATCTGTGCAAAATGGCTGAGAAGCTCCCAGAGTGTCTGGCCTGAACAGAAAGTATCTTGCAACCTAGAGCCATCATCCAGCTGCAGAGCGATGCGAACCTAAGGGGGCGAGAGACAGGAAACCAAGTTAGGAGGAAAAGCAGCTGTCCCATCCTGGACCCAGGTCTGATTTTCAGGGCACAGGCATGAGCACACGCCCTCCCTCAGGGCTCCTGGGATCTTGTGGGGGCGTGGGAGACGATAAGTACTGCCCCTCTGCACACTTTGTAAACACGTTTGTTGTGTTTTAAGCTGCCAAATTCTGAGGTAACTTGTTACGCAATGATAACTAATATATTGTGTTTTCTGAATTTTTTTTCCACAAATAAGCACATTGCTTTTATAAGTCCGTTTTTAATAATTATGTCCCTAAACAAGGACACAAGTTTATAACCCAAAGGAGGGAAATTCCTCTCTGGTCCTTCTGCCGAGTGACAGACACCCTAGAGCATGTGTGCACAGAGCCCCGGAGTAAGAACGTGTCCCACACCTACAAGAGCCGCACTCAGCCCCACCTGCCACGGCCCAGCACCTGATTTTCTACATCACAGCTACTCCTGCACATTTACATGAAATCCAGTAACAAACAAAGCAGGAGCTGCTCTGTGTGAAAGCGCAATGGAGTCCCCCAATTGCCCCACAGCCCAAGTCACTCCCAAAGAAAGGCAGGTTCCCTTCCACGTGAAAGTTTGAGAAGCACAGTTGTAATGGAAAAGGAGGGGTGTCAGGGTCAGTCCCAGCCGCCTGTCTCCTGGTGGGCCCTGGAGACTAATACCCCTAGGGCCCAAGCCTCTTTATCTCTCAACAGGGATGAAAATCGCCTTCCTTGAGGTGTTGGGTGAATATTACACCCGCAAAGGACCCGGCTTGGGCTCGCAGGAGTGGGAGCCGTCACCCTGGTCACTGTTTCCGTCTACAGTAACCCTGCTGTCGTGCGCTCATCTCTAGAAGCTGAAAGTTACTGATCTGGTGGAAGGCGGTGGGCCGCGGTCAGAACACTTGGGCTGTGGTCCAGGTGAGACCTGTAGGAGGGCTGGGGCGAATCCTGAGAACTGAGTTCATCCCAGAACCAAGGCCGCGTTCATCGCCTCACAGAGCTCTGCAGGCTCTAAGTTTCTTGGCACTTTTATGACCAGAAACATCAGGCTGTAAATCACGAGGCTGGGCGAATGCTGCTGACATGCTGGGATGGACACAGCACAATTAACTGTTGCTCAAAAATAAATTCAGCATGAAGAGCAAGTCTCATTTCCAACCATCAGCTATCGAAGCAGAAGACTAGCTCTGACCTGACCCCAGGAAGGCAGGATGGATCCGAGGACTCAGGCCTCACCGTGCACCCCCCTCTAAAACAGCCCCCACTCCCCAACCACAGCCGCAGGCCCTCCCCATCTGCTCGGCCTGCTGAAGCACCCTGCCGTCCAAACAGTCTGAATGAAAGAGCCAGGAGCAGCAGTACTGCTGGTCTCTCCCTGAGAGCCACCTACCATGTTCTCGGGCCCCTCGCGGCTCCGGGAGATGGGCACCATCTCCAGCTTGGCATTATTGGGCAGGTTGGCGAATCTCCACTGGAGAGTGAGGTCAAGCACGTTCTTCTGAAACCTGCAAAACAGACCAAGGCCCATAAGCTGCCCCACAGATCCTAACAGCCCAGCTCCCGTCTGGCTCTGGCACAGCCTTGCTGGGAACGGGGTACACACCCTGGATGTCCTCGGCTGTGCAGCGATTCTCCAGCCAGTGCCCCCAAGGCCATAAGAACAGACAGCCACAGCCTGGAAGCCTGCAAGGGCAGGAGCAGGTCCCTGACTACAGTGTCTTCTGAAGGAGAGACAAAGAGAGCACTGACACAGTTTGAGTGTACAAAGGCAGGGCAGGAAGGGAGAAAAAGGAAATGCGTTACCCTCTGGGGTGAGCTGAGGGGCTGCTCCTTCAGACCGTGAAGCAGTAACCAGCCCAAGTACAGACTTGGAACATAAAAGCACACACGGGAACAACTAAGGGGCGTGCGCCTTGCTCTGCTCAGAAAAGATCTCACAGAACACCACCCTATCCTCACGAACCAGAGCTGCACCCGCAGCCGTCCAGCCCCTGCAAGCCACTCTCCCTACACTGCCGGCCACCAGCCAAAATGACCAGCTCCCCTCACTCCTGCTTCCCGCCATCCTTTGAAGCAGGGCCATGACCCCAAAGACGAGCAACAGAGGGCAAAGGTTCTAGAGAAACACAAATGAAACAACCTGGCCTAAAGTCCCCATGGAGAGCCAGGCCCTGACAGCGGCCGGGATTCAGGGATAAAGGGCTAAGATTGCCATTCCCACCCACAAAGCCAGGTCCTCCAACCCAGAGCAGCCAGCAGTCTCTCTGCCTGTGTCCTGCACATATGAGCGGCTGCACAGGCACCTGGCAGCTTTGAGTCTCCCAACCGGTCAGGAAGAGACCAGTGTGGGCCTTCAGACAACGGGGTGGGCCCGCAACCTCCTCTGATCCCTGTGCACAGAGGTCCCGGGTCCATGGGGGTATAGTTTCTCAGAAGGACTGGAGGGAATGAAGAGACCTGATGAGTCAGGAGAGGAAATAACCAAGGGCAGGAGAAGAGGGCAGGCAGAGAACTCCCACGGCCTCCAAGATGCCCACTGGGTCTTTATTGGCAGCCTGCCCTCCCGGAAATCATGGCCAGGGTCACGCTCAGCACGCCTAACAAACAAGAAACTCAGATGAGAAGTGCCAACAGGTAGCCCAGGCCACCCAATGGCAAAGCTGGGACCATAATGTGTGGTTCCTGACATCCAGCTCGGATCACACGTCAGCTATGGACCGACAAGGAGTCAGACACCTACTCCTGAGGAGAGAGAGGACGGCGGCCCGGATTCAGAGACCTGGACGCTGCCTCACATGAGGGCAGGGAGGGTGGCAGCCAGGTGGCCCTGGAGCCTGCCTGACCCTGGTCCCTCTCCTCCCAACCCCTCTGGCTCCCAGGAACCCCACAGGAACAAGAATTACCACTGCTAACCCCACAGATCATTCGGGTCAGAGAAAAGCTCCTGCCCACAGCTTCTGAAAACACCATCGCCGTGTGGCTTGATTTCAGAGGAGGCAGATGGTGGCCAGAACGAATCGCCAGAACAAATCGCCAGAGAAGGAATAGGAGAACCTACTTATGCTGCTCAAAAGTCAGACTCTGAGCTGACTTTTAATAAAAGTTTAGGAAAAAACTACAGAGCTGGAGAGAGAATGCGTGTGAGATTTGAATACACACAAAGTGGTGACCTGACTACGCGAGTGCCAAGATGCCGTTAGAAACAATGGTTTTCTGATCGTGGACAATTTATAAAGCCCAGGGAGTTGGGAAGACTTGAGAAAGAAGCAATTCTGATACCCATCTTCAACACTAGCTGGAGAATGCAATACAATAACTTCAATGACTAGTGCAAGACAGGACAGCAGATCTAAGGTGAACCCAGGACCAGGTGGGCTGGCAGCCCTAGAGGTGAAGGGAAGGTGTCATGCACACTTGAGAGGGGCAGCACTTTTTAAACAAATTACACCACAGGTGTATAAAAGGAAGACAAGAGAAAAACTGATACTGTGTTGCAAAAGCTCCAACATTCTGACCCGCTCCAACCATACAACATGCAGAGGTTTCAGGCAGATTAAAGGAGAACAGAGAGAGGGCGCACAGCTCTGTGACAGGATGCCAGGGGACGGCCCAGGACAGAACACAGGCCCTGAGATTCTCAGTGGTCAGGCAGGAGTAGGGGAGTCAGCACGACACAAGGGCCTCTTTGCTCCAAACCTCCCCTGCAGAGCCCCACAGACAAGGCAGCGTGAGAAAGCCCCAAAGAACAGGCTCCTCTTTGCCCCCGATGTGAGGACAGCCACACCGTGAAGACATGCCGCTAAGGCCAAAAGCTCCTCATGTGGGAAAAGAAACCCACACCCCACCAACATGCCTTCTGACCCTTTTATTGTTTTGGACTCTTTGAGAATGTGGTGAAAGCCCTCTCTTCGGAAAAATGCCCACACACAGAGACCTGCATGCAATTCCAGGGGCTGCAAGGCCACCGGGATCCACCCACAGTTTGCAGGTTTCTTCCCATTTCTCCATGACTACTTCCTTTTGCCCTCAGAGCCCCATCAAGAACTTACACAACCAAAGGCATGAAAACCCTCTGCGGTGGCCCCTAAAAAGAAACATCCACATCCTAACCCCCAGCACTCGTGAACAGGACCTTACTTGGAGATAGGGACTTTGCAGATGTAATTGAGTTAAGGATCTCAGGATGAGGTCATTCTGCATTAAGGTGGGCCCTAAATCTAATGACAAGTGTTCTTAATAAGAGACAGAAGAGCAAAAGACACACAACACACAGGGAAAAGGCCACGTGAAGGTGGAGGCAGAGTGTGGAGTGATGCAGCCACAAGGCAAGGCAAGGAACGCCTGGAGCCCCCAGAAGCTGGAAGAGAAAGGATCTCCTCCCAGTGCCTTGGAGGGAGCACAGCCCTGCCCACACCTTGATTTTGGGCTTCTGGCCCCCAGAACTGAGAGAATAAACTTCTCTTGGCTTAAGCCCCCGAGCGGGGCCCTGGGTGGGGGGAGATGGACTCAAACCCCGCAGCCCAACCAGAGGAAACTCACTTCAGATCATATTCACTGGGGTTGAAGTCCTGCCGCCGGCATGTCTCCTCCAGAACCTAGGAGTGAGATGAGAGGATGGTGAGCCACTGGGTCTGGCCTGGTCCTTGGTTGGCAGGCTCAGCGGCACTGAGGCAGCCGAGTGCAGAGTCTATCTCTTTCTGGAGAGCCGGTTGGCCCTGCAGAACAAAGCCTAGCCACATGATGGACCCTCCACTCAACAGCTCCATGCGCCTCACTCACAAATCCTGTTCACTCTCCCCGTCCTCACTGGGCCTGCCTTGTCACCCCAGCTCTGTAGGAGAGCCCAGCACCACAGATGTCTTCCTACACACTCGTGGCCCGCCTCTCCCCACTCACAGAGAATAAAGTTCAAACTTGGGCCCCCAATGCCCGCAGCGCTTCACCCTCCTCTCCGCGAGCCGGCTCCACAGAGAGCCAGCTCAAAGTGGGCCCTGGGGCGCCCGAATGGCCCGGGAGCTCCCCGCTTCTGTGCCCTGCACACACACTGAGTCACTATTCTTGGGCTCAGCCCCCCGGGGGCTCCTCCCCGCAGACCTTGTATGCGCACTGTCCCCTACACAGCAGGACCCAAGAAGCATTTTAATGTCATGGATTCGAGGTCAACCAGCTGCTCCGCTGAAAGTGCAGCGAGTGACTCAGCAAACCAGTTCCCAGGCACAAAGGCCGGCAGACCTAGTCACAGTGGACGCCGGACCGGTAGGACGCCCGGGGATGGAAACACGGGCCGGGGGCGCTGGGAGACCGGCTCGGGCGCCCCGAGGACCCGGCTAGGGGTGCCAGGAGGTGCCGACACCCGCCAGCCCGCCCCTCGCCACGGTGGGACCCTTCCCCCGACCCCTGGGAGCCCAGATGCCGGCGCGGTAGTGGGCGGGCCTGCCGCGCCAGGAACCCGCTCATTGGCCGCCTCAGGCCCCGCCCCCTCAGGCCCCGCCCCGCGGCTGTCGGCGCCA